AAATTACCTATGATGGTTTCCAAAGAGGGCCCAATGGAAGTCGACCTGTATGTGTGTGTCGATATTGCTAGCAATGGGGACTAACATCCTCTTTAAGCCCTCCCCCCTTCCAGATTCCGCTGACATCGGTGACGTCAGATTAATTTGTTTACTAATAACTACCTGGCCCAACTAATGTCTCTTTGTCTAAAACTTTTGAACTGTGACAATCTAGAAACACTTTGTACGGAAAAAATGGGGATTTTACATTTTTTCGGGGAAGTATTCAAAATTTTCTCTTTATAAGAACTTTCCTAGAACTAATAAATAAAATAATTAAATATTTTGCGATTAGAAAAACATTTAACTGTTTTATTTATTTATTTATTCTTTATTGACCATATAACAATAACATGCTTTGTACAAAAGGCACACTTAATGTAAATATGTATTTATTTCTCTCACAAAAGAACAAGATAATAAAACTTACAACTACAAAGGTTACAATTTATTACTTACAATGAAATGTAACCTAAAAAATAAAATATATTAGGTTACAATGCTATACAGCAAAAAACGAGTTATTTTTACTGTTTTTTTTTTTTTTTTTACTGAATTGAACAAAATAACTATAATCAAATAACCAGTGATATGGACTTCCGCAAGATAACACCCAGTTTAGTAAAATATTCATTTTTAATTAATAAATATTTCCACCTGCATAAATGAAACCATATGTCATACTTTTCATATAGATATGATTACATTATTTTTATGGCGTCACTACCTTAATAAAATTAATTCTTATGATATAATTATGACTACAAATTCAGATAAGTAATAAGTCACTAATCTCTTATTATATATATATATATATATATATATATATATATATATATATATATATATATATATATATATATATAAATAAATAAGTTTAAAATTTAATAACATATATTAGGATGGGGGGAGGGGGGGTGGAGAAGAATTATTAGTATTACATATCAGGTCGACCAAATATTCAAATTCGTCGCGATGTTCCAATTGACCTGACTTCATCCTCACCTGTCATCCCTCACTGCCATCCCGCCAGTGTTTACCGATAGCGCGGGCAGGGTTACCATTTCATTATTATCCGTTAGTTATGTATATATATATATTGTTAGGTAACAAGGGTAAAATCTAAACAGATATTAATGATATTTGTGACGTAGATACATATATCATATTATTTTTAAATTAAGATATAAACTGCAAAAGATGATAAATTATTACTATATGGGTAAAAAATTAATGTAACTATCCGCAAATTTATCTTTAATTACAAAATAATCAATAAAAACTATAAATCTCGATTCTAACGCCATCTAGTATGTCATGTCTATTTTTGTTTAAGGATCTTTTGTTTTTTGCTCAATTCACCTTTGTCTTTTGCTTATAAATTTTTTATATGTATATTACGCTATATTTTTGACAATTCTAAACCAATTTCGATTATTCTTTCTCCAAACGACCGAATTTACTCTTGTGTTACTTCCGTGTTAATATTAGTAAAATGGATGTAGTTTTTTTTTTTCATACATTTTAAATTATACGAGTATTAACCAAAAGTATATAAAATAGTGATGCGTACATGTCTATGACCCGTCTTTAATGTTAAATTTTAACACCCATAAAAAGATAAAGTGACGCTATAGCCCAAAATTCCCCGGGGATGGCTTACCTACGGTTTACAAGCGCGTTTTACATTAAGGTGGGATAGACCTCCATGGTGGGTACGTCATTTTATAACTCACTCTTTGCAGTAAAACCTCTTTATTACTATAGCTTAGACCTCTCATACAGAAATTGAGGGTAAGAATAATAATTGAGTTAATATTTTTGAGTGAAAATGAAATAAAATTTGAAATAAAAAATTCCGTTTGGTCCTGGCATAGAATGGGCCATCTCTTCCAATCCCGTCGGTATCGTAAGAGACGGCTAAAGGAACTTAATGGTCAAGAGAGAGAGGTAACAGCATCGCTTTTAAAACAGCACCAAAGCCTAACTGCGATAGCCAATTCGCCTGCCAAGAGTGACAAGTACTGGAAAAGCTCCCCTTTATGTGGGAAGCCTGTGTTCAACAGTGGACAGTTAATGGCTGATATGTTAATGATGATGATGAAATAAAAATATATGCTGACTACGGCACTAATGGAGTAGAAATAACTATTTGTTGATAGTTGCCGTTTTGGTGAACGTATAAATTATAGATTTATTTAGATTTCCGCGTAAAAATCACTTTTTAAGTAATTTTCAAAAACAAGATATATGTAAATTTTTTTGTATGTTTTTTTTTATCCTATCTATCATCGGAACCTGGCATTGTTAGTAATGGAGTCTAACAACCCCATTGCTAGTATTATACCCAAAATGATCGACCTACATGCGGTTTTTTCGAGCAATCATCATGATTAATTCTTGTGAAATTTGTCACGATGGCCTAACTGACCTGCTTTCATCCTTGCCTATCGTTTTTCACTAGTGCCCGGCCAGCATATACTAATAGCATAGCCAGATTCACCATTCCATTCTCACTCATTAAAAAAAACTACCAAATAGGTAAAAAAAAAATAACAAAAATATTGCACGCATAAAAATAATAATTAAAGTTTTTTAATTTGCCTAAAAATGTACATACATACATACATACATATCAGTTACGCCTACCTTCCATTAGGGTAGACAGAAACAATGGAACGCCAAAACACAAAAAAAATGTAAAAAAAAAAAAAAAAAATAAAAATGTAATACTAGTCATGTGCTGCACCCTAGTATCAAGACTTTGTATAATGTCTGCATTACACACGAATGCCTCTAAATATAATTAGATCTTACATATCAAAAGCAATACGACGCAGTGATTCAAACCAATTGAGTATTCAGCTCTCGTGTTCGTTATTATCCTTGTAATAAATGGACCACTCTGGGAGTTAGTTATTATATTAATAATATTCTATTGTTGTTATTATTAATTATACCTAGGTGTTCTTCCGTGTTTTCCAATTGCAAAATATGTCGTAATATGAATGTAAACTCGATGGTTGAAGAATGGACAGCAGCGTCCCCCTTAATACATCACCAAAAGTCTATTTGCGGCTGCCAACCTCCTATCAAGCGTAGCAGTTAGAATATATAATAAAATACCAAAATCAATAAGAGAACTACCAGTAAGTCACTTTAAATTACGGTTAAAAAAAATGGTTACTGGAATGCAATTTTTATTCAATAAATGACTTTTAAAAAAATTAAATGTATGTATGTAAATGTGTAATTCAGTTGTATTGCATGCCATTTGTTATGTTTTTGACTTGTTATGTATTTGTTTTTGTTTAGTTTGTATTTGTATTTGTTTAGTTCTGCTACCTTTGGTATGTGTGTGGCTGCCAATATTTATGGATTGTCTCCTACTAGGCTGTTAATATACGTAAGCCACTAAACTATAATACTAAATTAGTTTAAAAATACCTTATCTAAAGGCATGCAGCCTTTAGATAAGGCGAAATGTGTAGATCAATAATATTTAAAACCATTATTATTACCACATTTCGAGCAAATAAATAAATAAATAAATTACTGGCAAAATATCCCTCATTGTAAACTTTAATAAGGAGCGATTCCATTCCTTATGGCAGTCTATAGATAGAAAAGGCCTATGATCAGCAGTGAACAGATGAATGCTGATGTAATAATGATGATGATAATAATGAAACTAAAATTAAATATGCTCACCACCGTAATCTCTGACAGGGTGATCATAGGGATTTGTCAAATTCACAATATTACATGTTTATTTATATATGACAGTAAAGATATTTATTATATTTATATAATATTAAATATACAATCCCTATGAATACTTTCTTCTTTCGGGTTCTCGAGGTTGACTGGAAGAAATCCCCTTAATAAGTCTACCTGTTCACATTTTTGTTATAACCTAACATCTTTATTTAAAGTGTATGTACAAAGTATACTCAACAAGGTGATGATCGGTCTATAACCTTTTTAAACAACATGAAGCTTTAGTTCAAGCCTAGCAAGTAAGGAAGGTTGTGAGTTTGTAAGGTTTACTCTCGTTTTATAGTTTTTCTTGCAATAACTTCTATCGTAACTGGTTGAACAGCATACCTAGAGCTTCTTATCTTAACAGGGCCAATGCAGTTTAATGCTAAATGGGATATTTATAAAAGACTGGCTGGTTCAGAAAACGTTTTGCTCCCTACCGCCATCTACCAAGTCAATCAGTTAATAGTTTATATTTAATTTTTAAAATATTTAAGATTTTTTCAAATATACTATTGTTATAATATATATTTAAATATTGTTTATAAGGCGAACCTTCAGGTATTGTGTTTATTTTACAAATATTTATTCAAATTATAAAGTCTAAAAAAATACAAGTATAAATATCTAGATAGGTATACATATATATCGACAAAGATTAGTTTTTATGTCAAGTATATAGGTACTTAGTTTTTTTTTATACAACTTAGAATGGCAAAAAGCTGATGGCCCACCTTATGGAAAGTGGTAACCGTCGCCTATAGATATGAGCAATACCATGGACATAACAGAGTATACTGTTTCGCCCATGATACCCCCCCCCCCCATGCGTTGCCATTCCTGAGGGCTCAGGTGTTATTCCTCTGTACCCAGTAAATTTACGCCATATCCCACCCTTCAAACCGAAACCCAACCATGCAAACACAACTGCTTCACGGTTGAAACACGAATGGGACAGAGGTACCCAAGCAATCGACTTTTGTACAAAGTCTCCCTCTGGTAAAATTAGTAATTGTAATATTAATCTTTGTCAAAGTTTCCTATCTGAAATCGTACTTAATTCCGCTAAAAGCATTTCCTCAATCTTGCCTTTCCACAAATGAACTGAAGAACTAAAACAACCTTCTATCAATTGAACGTACGAAACAATACAATGTGTGCATGTAATTTAATTACTATAATGAGTTCGGATGCGTAAAAACCCTAGCTACCTATCTCACTTCATATAAAAGCTGTAACTCGAGATCGTATTCAATGCTAACTTGATAGTGTGTCGAGACGATCGTGTAGTGGAATAAAGTTTAAAAAAAGAACAATGAATTTATTGGTGAGTGAAGTTGTTTTTTAAAATATGAAATTAGTGTTGTGATTTTATTATTATCATTAGGTAGTATTAACATTAGCAATAGTGGAGTTCCAAATACGATTCTCGGTCTAGTTATTCCAAAATAAAAATGCCAATGTGATGGTGGCCATGGTGATTAGAATCTCTAGACAATAAGGAAGAAGATATATGTGCAAGAATAACATAATTACCTACAGCAGTACTTCCCAATTAATAACACATGGGAGTCTTTATGAAATTAATTTATAACATTTTAAAAGATAGACGACGTATTGGCTAACCCCGTGACGTCGTTAATGACTATGGGCTGCGATGATCACTCACCATCAGACGATATTTCAAATAAAAAAGTGAAAATGGCTGTGGCTGTGTTTCGGTTTGAAGGGTGGGATATGGCGTGAATTTACTAAGTACAGAGGAATAACACCTGAGTCCTCAAGAATGGCAACGCATGTGGGGTATCATGGGCGAAACGGTATACTCTATTATGTCCATGGCACTGCTCATGTCTATAGGCGACGGTTACCACTTTCCATCAGGTGGGCCGTCAGCTTGTTTGCCATTCTAAGTTGTATAAAAAAAAAAGAAAAATATCTCAAAATGTACCAAGCTGTTTGTCCAACCTATTTATAATGGCAGTACCTCTATCGCACATGATTGTGTTTCAATGTAAAGACTGGACTGGCAGTGAAGTTACAGAGTACGAATGCGAAACATTTTAGTTTGAAATTAATTTTTTTTGCAACTTAGAATGGCAAACAAGCTGACGGCCCACCTGTTGGAAAGTGATAACCGTCGCCTATAGACATGAGCAGTACCATGGACATAACAGTGTATACCATTTCGCCCATGATACCTCCCATGCGTTGCCATTCTTTAGGGCATAGGAGTTATTCCTCTGTACCTTGTAAATTCACTGCCATATCTCACCCTTCAAACCGAAACACAGCCATGCAAACACAACTGCTTCATGATAGAAACACGAATGGGACAGAGGTGCCCAAGCAAACGATTTTTCCCACACTTAAAACTTAGTTATTTTATTTCTTGAAACGAACGTCAATTCATAATGATACTGTGGGCGTTACAGTGTAATTTGTAATCTCCGTGGTACTGTTTATGTTTATTGACGACTATTCTCTCTGTTCATAAAGTGGATTGTAAGCATTTTTGTCATTCTTAGTTGCATATAAAAGAAGTATATGTTATACTTCTTTTTGGAAGAGACTTCTACGCAGCAGTGGAGTTAGATCTTATTCCACATGATTGAGTATTTAGTGCTAGATCCTTCTGTTATTTCTTTATCAATGCTCTCAATCAGTCGACTCGGTTTCAAAGGAATTTCCTTCTGCGAACGCTCAGGCTGTAGAATAATATTATACAACAATAGAGTTAAATTGAGAATCTCCTCCTTTGAAATCCTATATTTCTAAGGGGCTCCTTTATTAAAATTACTTTTTTTTTTAATATTTCTTACTTTATATATATACTTTTTTATACTTTCTTCGGATCTATATTCGATTTGATTACTTCATAGTGATTTATTTAAAAATATTTTAAATGCCCTAAATTTAGGGATCCCAAATATTTAAAAGGCTAAAAATTGAAACTGATTGAAAAAAGGAATAAATTTCCGACTAAGATAAAATATTTGATACTTGTTATAGTTCACGTCTTATTCAGTTACTGTGTAAATATCGTAAAAAAATCAATATGTAAATATCGAAAAAAAGTTAATATATATAAATAATAGTTGATACAATTGCATTCTTGGATAAGGGAAACAGAAATGTTTAATTTATCAAAAGTAAGAACATAGATATTTTAAGCTTTAATTATTTTATAATAATATGTGATGTAGTAACCTATTGATTTTAATCTGATAAATGAAAAATCTTCGCTTCGCTTTTGCATTACTTAATTTGAATTATGTACAATAAAGATTTTTGCAATACAATACAATACTTTTTCCGTTTATACTATAGATTATATATATATATATATATTTATATATATATTCTTACAAAGTCATTTGGATGGCGATGATTCCATTTTTGAATGGGACTAAAATATAATATCGTTGTAAGGGTACCATCTATATTCACCTCGGCGCAAATTAATCACGATTAAAAATTTTATCAAAATCCGTCCAGTAAATTTTGCATGATGACGGTCTAATTAAAATATTAAATATTTTAATTAGACCGTAACTATAAATAGCGAAAAATAAAGGAAAATACCAAAATACGAAATAGAATAAAAAATACGAAAAACCAAAAACAGTTCAAATCATTTTTAAATATAACTTTAATTACAATTTATTTATTTTTTTACTTAAAAAAATGTAATAAACTAACTCAATATGTTAATCATTTATCTTTGTAACTTTCTTATGATCTAACCAATGTAAATTATACTTATCACTATAGGAACTATGCGTATCAATATCAGCGACTCGCTGTAGATAAACCATATGATTTTTTTTGGGTACGGCACTATCTATCAAGTAAGTATATTAAATATATTAATAATTCTTTTTTCCACGCACAACCACTCTTTGGAATAAACTTCCAGCGGCAGATTTCCGAACCGATACGACAACATAACCTTCAAGAAAAGAGCATATTCCTTTTTAATTCTACTAGAATTTAATCGGCCTTTTATACCATATTTTCTTTTTGTTAATAAAGTTATTTAAATAAAATAAATAAATAAACTTGGCATTTTATCACAATTAACTATTTAAAAACACAAATATTAATGATATTTAGTTTCCGTAGATAATATGGAGTTTAGAGATCGTATTAAAGTTTTACCAGGGTCGACTAAGGCGCCTTTGTCATCTACTTTTAGTCTGGCATTATAGATAAATAATGCGTAATTATTGTTATTTTATTAATCCATCTACCACTTCCATTGGCTCCATAGAAAAACAGCATTTAGACATTATGTATGAATGCCTACACCATGGGCTCCTAAACTTTTAAAATAATGTAACACCCACCAAATTCCTTTTATTTTATGGAACCCCATATCAAATTATTACAAATAAAAAACGCAGTAGTTTAAATAAGAAAAAAAGCTTTTATTAGAAACATTTTAAAAGTATAATATTTTGTAGCTTCCTTTTATTTTTAATGTGAAGAATGAAATTATTTCACTGTATAAATAATTTCACGGAACCTTGGTGACTTTTTTACGGAACCCCTAGATTCCATTGAACCCACTTCAGAAATCGCTGGCCTAGACACTTAACTGACCTTCAGTGACCATTTTGATCGCATAATTCCTAATTAGTTATGAGTTTATTTTTGTATTTTCTTTAAGTTTATAATTGTTTATGTTTTAAGTGTCATTAGTATACCAAATATTTTTTTTCCTACTTTCTTTCTAAATAGAGTTAGATAATTTACTTAAATACCTGCTAGCTTGCTACTCCATGCTTACTTACAATACGATACTTATATAATTAAGATGAAGTTCCACAAAGAAAAATCGACTTCGATTATGGTAAAAACCAGTTATTTTGGTTTAAAAATTACTCTACTGAACCCGATTTTGATAAATTTTTTTAAAGGCAAAAGAAATTTTCAAATCTGTTTACGACTGACTGAATTTTTTTCAAACCGGTAACAGATATAAAAAAAATATTAAAATATATAAATATTATATTGTTATTAATGAAACTGTTAGATTCCATTACTAACAATCCATCCCCTTCCTTCTATTAGATCGTAATTTCAAACTAAACCTTTTTTTTTCTATAAAATTGTTCATAAGTACGTAAATGATTTACATTAGCGTATGATTAAGTAAATTCAGTTCAATTTTAGATAAATTTTATCTTTTAATTAGATTAAAATAGTTTATATTGATTACGACAAACGTACAACTTTGATAATTTATCAGTGTACTTGAATACAATCTTGTAAGGGAACTATAGATTGTACCAAATTACTTGAAAAAACATAATAATATTGTAGGCATTTTGTTCTACATACGAATTTAGGATTTGCTTAAAAAAAAAAAACAAATTTAATGTATTCGTGGCAAGGCCAGTTCTTTAGATGTAAACCTAAACTACTTGAATTGATTTTGATGGAATTTCTGTGGGACTAATCTAAAAGTATGTCCTTTCAGTTAAAACGAGAATTGAGCATGGCTTTTTTTTTTTGATGGGTGAAAATGGCATGGTAACCCCGCCTGCGCTAACGGATACGCCGGCGGAGCACCAGTGAAGGGTGATAGATGAGAATGGAAACAGGCCAGTTAGCCCATTATGATGAATTCATCAGAAATTAACCATGATAGTTTCCAGGGAGAACAGCGAGGAAGTCGATCTGGTTGGGTATCTTGCTAGCAATGGGATTCTCAGTCTCCATTACTAACAATCCCTTTCCCCCCAAATGAGCATGGTTAGACACGCTACCGCGTGTTTAAATTTCAAATTGGTTTATAATTGACGAGTTATGAGGTAACAAACATTAAACCAAATTGGGAACCTCGACTGAACATTTTTAATGTTGAAAAAATTAGGGCGACGACAAAATTATACTTTATGACCTTGACCAGTTTCACTTTACCTTACCATACGTCGTGTACAGCTTTTAAGTTAGTACGTGAGACTAAAATTGGTTGTTTTTAAATACTTCAAACTATACTAATTAAATAATAATTAATAACCTACTGCACGTCGTGTGGACCCGGCATAGAATGGGCGACCACTTGCTTTCCTGTGGGTGTCGTAAGAGGCGACTAAAGGAACTTTATGGCCGAGGGATGGGCATCAGCGTTCCTTTTAAAACATCATCAAATCCTAACTGCGGTTGCCAACCCGCCAGCCAAGAGTAATAACTACTTGCAAAATTCCCCTTATAGGGAGACATGTTCAGCAGTAAACGGTACACCAAAGGAAGACTTTGTATAAAAGTCGATTGCTTGAGTACCTCTGTCCCATTCGTATTTCTACCGTGAAGCAGTTGTATTTGCATGGCTGTGTTTCAGTTTGAAGAGTGGGATATGGCTTTAATTTACAGGGTACAGAGGAATAACACCTGAGTCCTCGGGCAACGTATGGGGGGTATCATGGGCGAAATAGTATACTTTGTTATGTCCATGGTACTGCTCGTGTCTATAGGCGATGGTTACCACTTTCCATCAGGTGGGCCGTCAGCTTGTTTGCGATTCTAAGTTGTATAAAAAAAAAGTATACAGCTGAGATGATATGATCCTACTGATATTACAAATGACTCCGTAAGAATGTATGCAAGGAATAACATTATGTTACCTTGACAAAACAACATATTAATAACAACATATCTGACACTCAGAGGTAAATAATGAAGCTTAAAGACTATAAGAATGAAATAAATATTATAAGAATCTATTTTTACTTATTTTTTTTTTACATTTACAGAATATATTTTTACTGGCGTGTTCAATGGCCGTGAGTGGCGCTCAGCGTATCGGAGTAGCGAGTGACATCGCTGACGGCCAGCGACGCGGCGGCGGTTACGGGCTGCTTAGGCCGGGCTACAATGGCTACCAACCCGGTTATAGCGGTTACCAGGGCAACATAGGTTATCCAGGGTCAAATAGTGGATTTGGAGGTAAAAATATGACTAAAAATCCCTACTAATGCTATGAATACAAAAGTAAATTTGTCTGTTACCTTATGACCCATCAAACGTTGTATCGCCCCTCACACATTGTACACACATTGCTGTAACGCTATCTCTAAAGTTAGAAAAATAACGCTCACACATTTTCATCATTAAAATTGGCTAAACGGAATCGAAGATCAGCGTGAATGAACATTATAAATTGCTGTGTGATCCAAGCGTAGAATGAACCACCACTTCCGTTCCCGTGGGCGTCGTTGAGTGTCGTAAAAGGCGACTAAGAGAATTTAAATGTTCGAGAGATAGGCAATAGCGTCCCTCTTAAAACATCACCAAAGCCTATCTGCAGGTACCAAGTGTGGCATGTATTGGCAAAACCTCCCTTATGGGGAAAACCTATGTTCAATAGTGGACAGGTAACGATTGGCATGGTGATATGATGAACATTATACTCTGGGATCTTTGTAATATAGATTATCATTATGACATATTTTCTACAGGTTATGGCAATGCTGGTTATGGTAGCGGCGGTTTCGGCGGCGGTTATGGCAGTAGTTATGGCAGTGGTTACGGTGGTTACCCGTATGGCAACTCTGGTTATGGGGGCCAGAATTATCCAGGACTTGGAGGTACACATTTTTCATTTGAGAGTTTCCTCTTGTCGGTGCAACTAGTTCATGCATCTTCCTCCAGCCAGCTCTATCCCAGGCCATATCCTATATCTCCCTATACGACATGACGCCTAGTGTTTCCTTTATCTGTCCCATGTAGTTAATCCTCGGTCTTCCTCTTCCTCTTTTGCCCTCTATCTTTCTTTCTATTATGCTCTTAAAAAAATCGTCATGTCGTGTAAGGTGGCCCAGCATTTTGCCTCTTCTATTCTTTATTATTTTAATCAATGTTTTCTTCTCGTTTACTTTTTTTAGTACTTCCTCGTTCGTTAGTTTTTCTGTCCAGGTACACATGTCATCTTAATTATATCATAAAAATCGACTGCACATCCAGATGTATAATTAATATGGGAGTTTCATTATGGATTAGTCTTAAGCACATTTTTTTAACATTTTAACATTATCATATCAGCCTTTAACTGTCCACTGCTGAACATAAGTCTCCCACTTTGGGGGTTTTGCCAGTAGTTGCCACGCTTGGCAGGCGGATTGGCAACCGCAGTCAGGCTTTAGAGATGTTTTAAGAAGGACGATGCTGCCCATCCCTCGGACTCCCTTAGTTAGCTCTTACGACATCCACTGGAAAGGAAGGGGTGCACTATGCCGGGACCACGCGGCCATTTTAACATTACTAATACTACTTTTTTGCAATTCTTCACAGGTGGTTATCGGCCAAACTACAGGCCTGGCTTTGACCGCCCCGGTTACTACCCTGGTGGCAACTTCGGAATCGGCAATATTGGGGTTGGAAACCCTGGTTACAACCGACCCGGATATCCATACAGACCCGGATACGACCGGCCGTACCCGGGTAACCCTGGCAATTTCTTCGGAGGTTACAGTGACGGTTATAATGATTCATTTAGACGTTTGGAAAGGAAGACCAGTGAAATAAAAACTGGGGAGACGAAGAAGGAAAAGTAATAACATCCGTTTGATCAAAGATCTGAATTATGTACCTGCAATTTAATTATTTAATATTAATGGTAATAAATTATTAATAAGATGTCTATGGAATTTTAATTTTTTACCAGAGGGAGACTGTACAAAAGTCGATTTGTTGGGTACCTCTGTCCCATTCGTGTTTCAACCGTGAAGCAGTTGTGTTTGCATGACTGTGTTTCGGTTTGAAGGGTGGGATATGGTGTGAATTTACTAGGTACAGAGGAATAACACCTGAGTCCACAGGAATGGCAACGCGGGGTATCATGGGCGAAACAGTAACAGAGTAGAGTAGTAGAGTAGTAGTAGAGTATACTGTAGTATAGTATGTCCATGATACTGCTCATGTCTATAGGCGACGGTTACCACTTTCCATCAGGTGGGCCGTCAGCTTGTTTGCCATTATAAGTTGTATAAAATAAAACAAACATTTTCATTTACATTTACAGGATGATTTTCATATTTATATGGTAGGCAGAGAACAGAGTTCCAAAAACATCTATCCTTATACAAACAAGCATGCACCTTGTCTGATGCTAAACGGTCACTGTAGCCTGTGGAGCCTGCAACACCAGGGGTGTCACATGCGCGTTGCCAACCCTGAAGAAACCTTAATATACCCTTTTTGAAGGACTACATACTGTAGTCTCTAGGGAAAACCTTGGCAGGGAGCTCGCTCATACCAACATTATAGTATGTATCCGGGCTAATGTTGAGACCCATTTTGTAATATATATTTATTTATTTATATACTTATTTATATATATTTATATTGGCTTATTACTATTGCTATTCTCACATAAGGCTCGTGTGTAGTGAAAAAATAAAATTAAGCACTAAAATTGCCAACAATATATTACATTTATACCACAGTCCTAATTTACAAGATAAATAATTATTAATAACTGATTCATTTAATATAATTATAATGATATATAATTAAAACTTAATATTACAATTAAATTAAACAATTTATATAAATGTAAATATTTTCATGTGTTCACAGTCTCATGACACTGAAGAGACGTTTCTTACTTTTGATGTTTTCTTCAAAAACGGTAGAGCAATATCGCTTTAATTGCAAAATGTATACTTACTCTTTATTCATAAACATGTCCTCTCTTTCTCTCTATCTATCTCTCTCAATCTCTCTCTCTCTCTCTCTCTTATAAATCTATTAGCTATTGAATTGTTTTGTCTCTTTCTTTTACACCAAATTCCCAATTTGAAAGAAAGTGACCAAACATTGTAATAGTTAAAGTAGATTTGTAGATTTTAGTGTTTTACGAATAAGGGGATTTATTTATATCAGTTTTCTTTACACACATACAAACAAAATTGAGTTATATAGCATTTGTAATAAGGATTTAAATTACATCAAAATACAATCATTCCTCTTTTCGAAAGTGCTATTTTATATTCTTGTCGAAAGATATATAAAAAAGAACTTAAATATATACAAAGGTACTGTTTACATTCATGATGCATTATCCAATACTAACTTTTAACCGTGACTCTGTCCGCGTGACCGGGATATGTTTTCTGACCGGAATAAAAAGTTTATACCGCGGTGAGTGAACATTTCCACGTCGTGCGGTCGCTGTCGCTGGCATAAACTAGTATACCTATTATATATATTATAATTACTAAGAGCTACTAAACCAATCAGACGTCATCGAGTTGAAGAATGACGCTGCACCGGAGCGCGCGTTAGCAAAGTTGAGCGGCAGCGACTTAGTCATGATCTCTGAAATGTCTGCCTTCTGTTTGCTGGGACTCGATGTGGCTGCTGGTTTCTTTTTGGCCTAAAACATAATGTTAATTTTAAAAACAACACTAGAGGGCCTACCATGAAATATTTTCCGTTTTTTTTTTAACAACTTAGAATGGCAAACAAGCTGACTGCCCACCTGATGGAAAGTGGTAATCGTCGCCTATAGACATGAGCAGTACCATGGACATAACAGAGTATACTGTTTCGCCCGTGATACCCCCATGCGTTGCCATTCCTGAGGATTCAGGTATTATTCCTCTGTACCCTGTAAATTCACGCCATATCCCACCCTTCAAACCTAAACACAGCCATGCAAACACAACTGCTTCACGGTTGAAACACGAATGGGACAGAGGTAGCTAAGCGGTCGACTTTTGTACAAAGTCTCCCTCTGGTAATGTCGGGGCCGAACGAAACACAAATTTGATGTTAAAATTGGATAATACAGTTTAAAAATATTAAAAATGTTAAAATATCATTCCTTTGGACTGTTACAGTAAGATTTATGACGAACTAAATATTAAGCTCCGTTTATATTTATTTCGGAACGAACAAATAAACGAAATCGAGTCCGAAAATTCGGAATTTCTTTTTAATTCGGAATTATAATTTTAATAGGTAATTAGCATCACTGATATGAGGACAATTAAAAAAATACCATCATGCTATCAAGTACATGCAGTCGAGTTATATATAAACCATACTACTATGTCAAATAAGTACAATATATTAATATTAATACCTAAATTATCAAATCGAAAACAATGCAAAACATATTAGTGACAAAAAAAGAGGGCGTCCATTATATTATATATACCATATTACTCTTTAGGGAAGGAAAGGATAGCAGGAATGATTTCTTTTTTATACAACTTAGAATGGCAAACAAGCTGACGGTCCACCTGATGGGAAGTGGTAACCGTCGCCTATAGACATGAGCAGTACCATGGACACAACAGAGTATACTGTTTCGCCCTGGGGAGTATCATCCCCATGCGTTGCCATTCCTGAGGACTCAGATGTAATTCCTCTGTACCCTGTAAATTCACGCCATATCCCACCCTTCAAACCGAAACACAGCTATGCAAACACAACTGCTTTACGGTTGAAACACGAATGGGACAGAGGTACCCAAGCAATCGACTTTTGTACAAAGTCTCCCTCTGGTATGGATGGATATGGATTTCACTGAAATATGCAAGTGTAGCAAATATTTAACTATTTCTTACGGGTAAAACCCACAAGGGGTGAAAGGGAGTCCAAATTAAAAAAAAAGGTCATATATATAATGGGCGTCCACTTGTACTAATAAAAAAAAAAAAACTATATTAATATTTATTATACATTAATGGCAATATTGTTTAATTCATTCGATCCAACTATTTAATCATACCCATTCCAATTACAGTATGGTGAAATCTGGATTCTGGATATAAATAAAATATAAAAAGTAGTGTAGATAAATAAATAAAATAAAACCTTTGAGTAAAAAAATAAGACACATATTCATATAAATATATTATAAATGCATAATTAATAATTGTGTACCATAAAAAAATCTACTTCAATTGTGATAAAACCAGTTATTCTGATTTAAAACAACTGAACCGATTTTGGTAAAATGTCTATGGGATAAATCAAATAAAAAAATCATTTTCCAAAATGGTTTGGAACTTTTACAGTTATGAGGTAACAAACATAATAAAATAAATACAACTCTATTTGTCAGTTTATATCTCTTTTTACACGCATTTAGATAGATAGATATTATTATATCTGCTGTTAACCTTCCACTGCTGAATAAAGGCTTCCGCCATAAGGAGGGTTTTGCCAGTATTTGCCACACGGATTTAAAACTTTATTTAAAATTCGAATCAAAAATTCATAAATATCATCCAATATAAATGTCATTCATCATCCAAATTAATTGTATTTATTATATATTTTATTACTACATACTAATTTAACGTGTTTATTGTTTTTGTAACTGGTGCAATAAAGTGTAAAATAAATAAATATATAAACAATTGTAAAAATCGTAGTATTTAACATAGCAATATGAGATATTACATAGTAAATTTGTAATATAAGAATATAATATAAAAATAGAAGAAAAAAAAATAGAAATGGTAAACTTCTAAATTTTTTATATAAAATAAGTATATACATACCGGTTTTTCCTGTTTCTTGAGATGGCTTGGTGGGGCTGCTACAGGAAGGAGCGAGAACCAGTGAGACTCGCCCGAGGCTAGAAGCCCGGCCGCTTTATCGCCACTCCCGCCGGATAAAACCGGTTTTGTTCCGATAATACCGGTTAACTGACCGTGATGGAGTATCAGACTGCCCAAGAGCGTCTGAAAAGTTACATAATATTATATCTATGAAAAACCGCAATAAATTTGAAAGTTGTTAGTTTAATATCAAACTGTACGAGAATACAGGGGGCTTAAGAACTACACGAAACATAATAGGATTTGTTTTATATATAGTAATATAGTAATAATAATATTTATTCAATCCAAAAATACATGTTTCAATCTTACATTTGCTCCCAAAACTTCACACTAGGATTTCCTGTGTCGTGAAGTCTTGGGCCCTCTTCTACTTACAAAACTTATTAATATAAGGAGCTGATGTAAATGTATGGTAATCATTATTATCACAATTAACTGTCCTCTCGTACAGTCAACTGTGATAGTCAACTAGTGATGTCAACATCATCAAAGCTTAACTGCGTTTGCCAATCCGCCTGCCATGCGTGGCAACTACTAGCAAAACCCCACTTATGGGAGAGGCCTATATTTAGCAGTGATGCACTTAAAAAAATTTTTAAAATTTACCTGAACTCTTTGGACGGATCTTTTCAAGTTCGTTTGTATGTATGGATAGAACACATCATAATCGAACGGATCTATCTTCTGTCTCAAGAACTCGCAAATATTATGTGAAAACTCCATTGTTTTCTTATTCTCCCGTGGCACCAGCAGCAATGTTAAGTGCCTTACGTCCATTAAAAGTTGAAGCGCACATCTCTGATTTATATCTGTCTCGTTCTCTCTAACCACTCGGTCGTAATGTTCGAAAGTGATGTCAGTAATTTTTTCAATAAACATTGTGTGGATTTCTACAGGTAATGTGTGGGGTACTACTTCGTCTAGTATTCGGCTTATGGAATACAGGTATTCTTGGAGTTTCAACGAAGGACCGGCGGGTACTTTTATAGTAGATTCAATTGCGTTACCTTCGTCATCTTTTTCTTCGATCTTTATTATGTCCCATTGCTAAAAACAAAGATAAAATAAAAATTATTTACTAAATACTTGTAGCGGAGAATATTCTTAAATATATTATTCCGCTTCGCTTATAATAAAATTGCGGCAACACTAAGTAAAGTTGCATGAAGATAGCGGCCAACTGCGGCCGCAGCGCTTTCGCAGCGCGGCTAACTTCGTGGGGACTCTCTGATGCGCTTATCACGTACGCACCGTGCTTACTCATTTTAAAAATCTTATTTGTATATTTTCACTTTATATTATCTTATAACAAATCATTATGTATGTGCTTGCAAACCACTTAAATAAATCATCTTTTAATAACTAAAAACAGCATTCATTCCGTGTACGCGTAAATTCATTTTTTACTGTATATCTACCCTCAGTAAATATTAGTGTGCCTTGGATAAATACAGTGTCGGTGAGGGCCTAGGAGTCATCAAAGAGCCCTACACCACATACTTTTTACATAATAAATTTATAAACATCAATATGAGACATCTTGGTAATTTTTTTTATACAACTTCTAATGGCAAACAAGCTGACGGCCCACCTGATGGAAAGTGGTAACCGTCGCCTATGAAATGAGCAGTACCATGGACATAACAGAGTATACTGTTTCGCCCATGATACCCCCCATGCGTTGCCATTCCGGAGGACTCAGGTGTTATTCCTCCATACTCAGTAAATATCCCACCCTTCAAACCGAAACACAGCCATGCAAACACAACTGCTTTACGGTTGAAACACGAATGGGACAGAGGTACCCAAATAACTTATATCTTTAATATAATAAAAAAATATATATCCTTTTTACAATGTTTTTTTTTTTCAATCAACAGGGAGTAGCTACGTATTCTGAAATCAACTTACAAACAATTTATCATTAACTAACGAACAAAATCACAGGGTGAAACTGGTAGTGAAATAAATTTACAACTGACTTACCATCATCAAATAATCTATATTGGCCTCCAGGGTGAACTCCTGAGGCAAACCTTTGGTCAAATCTTTCACTTTGACCATTACAATTTCAACCCACTTCCCCCAACAATAAAGGCAATTCTCCTTTAATATGCCACATAGTTCACTCCATTGTTTCACAGCGTTCGGGTCGACATTCAATACGCCTAATATATTCTGTTCCTCGGGAATATAGCACTTACGAAGGTGCGGAATAAGGGTGGGTATTGCTTGCGTGAACCGTGCAGTGTATATCGCTGTCGTTTTACGATGCAGCTCAGTAGAATGCAATGTTGGCTCCTCGAAGCATACTTTCATATAATGCAACATGCTGTAAAGAACAATTAAATAGTATATTTAGAAGTGAATAATCAAGTATTACATTATATTTTAATAGTATTAAAAAGGTTACTGACCGCTTCTGTCTATTCCACGTTTATTTCTATACCAGGCAACGGATTTTAATATGAGACTTAAATGATTTAAATATTATATGAGATGATTTAAATATTTTTATTTTAAAAAGGTATTATGGTATACTATGGCAAGCATGGTTACCACAGAATATCAACACATTTTGAGTGGCGGCCATGTTGGCGACAACAACAATTATTAAGTTTGTTTTTATTGTTAATATTTTTTTTTTTTGCTGTAGGCAATAAATGTTACATGAATGCAGTATTAAATTGTCATTAGCAATAGATTTGGATTGAGATCGATGTTGGATTCAAGAGTTATCCTACTGTTTGTTTGTTTGTTTGTTTATTGATTATTATTATAATTTATTTGCTTTCTATTTGTATACAATTATTATTATTTTTTTGTTTGTTTTGTTTTGGTTTCATTTGTTCTTGTTGTGTGCGCTACTGTGGGCCGCATGCTTCTACGATTAAATTATTTCTTTCTTTCTTTCTTTAACTTTCGCGTTTTATTTATTTTGTATTGTATTAGTTTTGTATATAATAATATATCCTAATTAATTTAAATGAGGTTTCATTTCTAGTATTTACAGTATTGTTGACTGGTAAAGAATGCCTATAGTATTAGGTCCGCCTTTTGTAGCACATTTTATTAGTCAATAAAGTTTAATATATATTTTTAAGACCTTTCATACAAACCATGCTGTCACGTGATTCATCCATTGTGATTTCAAAACCTATTTTCATACTAGTGTTAACCAGTAGTTATGCACGTAAGATATATCAGTCGTTTCTTAAAAACCCCAAAAAATAATAAAAATTTCTTAAAGACTATGGCATGGGGTTCTTCAAAAGGGGTAAAGTAAGCTTTGGATCTTACATGTAACAGTTATGGAGCAGAAACAGAAAAAGAGGAAAGATTTTTAGAAAATGATTTCAGTATTTTACAAGTATATTATAAAATTATTATTATTCGATACAGAAGCATAAGAACTTAGTCCTTCGGAATGGCAAAGCATGAGGAGTATCATGGGCAACAAAGAATACTCTGTTATCTCCACGATACTGTTCATGTCTATGGGCAACGGTACCATTTACCATTTTCAATCAAATGGCGTGTCAGCTTGATTGCCATTCTAAGTCGCATAGAAAAAATTGATAAATAAATACCTCTGTACATTCTCGTCCGTGGTGTCCCTCAAGAAAGCCTCAATATCACTCTTATCTATATAAATCTGGTTGATATCCTCTTCATCATCATAGGTGAACAGGAGTTTGTCTCTCGAATTGGAAGCATTCTTATTACGGTACAAATAAATTTTCAAATCATCAAGCAAGCGCTGCAATTCGCTATCTAGAGTTAAGCAAAGGTTTTCCAAAGTTGGTGTGAAGCCGTGATCTTGTCTTGACATACCTAAAATATATATGTTAAAATCATGTTAAAAAAAATCAACACCAGAGACATTGCAGGTATGCTGCCAGCCTTTTCAAAAGGAATATGTTCTTTTTTTTAAGGTTATGATGTCGTATCGGTTCGGAAAAATGAAAAGCTGTTGTGAATGGAAGAAAGTGCCATAAAAACCCACAGAGGAGGACCGCCACTCATCCAGATGATTGGGATGAAACTTTAATTTACGACAGATTGTATGGTGGTGAAAATCAGCAGCAGCTATCAATCCAAACAATTCCTCAGATACTCCTCATGATACATTCGGTAGAAGATGGACAGAGATGCAACATATCTATGTAGTTTCAGTGGGTCGAGGCGGACAGTAATGCACTGTTAAATGTATTTCTAACTTTTACACACCGAAATGTGGCAACATCACAATTGTCCGTCAATTTTCAAAAACAAATGAATATTTTTCAATGTTTCCGATTAATGTGAAAAGTGCTCTACATGCGAATTAAAAAGTTAATGCTTTGTTTTTACCTAATGGTTAGCTGGTAGAGAATGCCATTTATACAACTTTTATTGCGCAATAAACAATAAATAAAATGAGACCAACAAAAAAGAACCAGAGGGAGACTTTGTACAAAAGACGTTTGCTTAGGCACCTCTATCCCTTTTGAGTTTCCACCGTAAGGCAGTTGTGTTTGTATAGCTGTATTTCGGTTTGGGTGGGATATGGCAGTGAATTTACAGGGTACAGAGAAATAACGCCCGAATCCTCAGGAATGGCAACGCGTGGGAGGTATCATGGGCGAAAGAGTATACTCTGTTATGTCCATGGTACTGCTCATGTCTATAGGCGCCAGGTACCATTTTCCATCAGGTGAGCCGTCAGCTTGTTTGCCATTCTGAGTTGCATAAAAAAAAGAACCATATCAATTGCAATTATTTTTGCAATATTTTTTTGGATAAAAGAAACATACCTTTCATCAAAGAGTTCATCACTTTTATAACATCATCTCTTGACTCAATGATAGTTTCACCGATAAGATCTTTCCAGACAAACCAGTTGATATCAACTTCCTTCTCCACTTCATTATCTGACGCTACTTTAGTCAAATCAACCAGTATCTGTGTTTTAAACGAGTCATACACTTTAAGCCATCTACCCTCAATGATGGCCTTGACTCGAGATGTCAACAGTGGTTGGAAGTAGTGACACCATACATGCACTTCAGGAATATCGAGAGATGAGCATATTGTTGACCAATTGGATGGTGTTTCTGAAAAATTAAAAAAATAATTTGGGGATTTTTTTATATCAAACTTTAAGTTACTTTAAACTTTTTAAATACATGTGAGCATTGACTGTAAATATTATATATTATTAATCACAAAGTATTACTATATGACTTCCGATTAGTGGAAAAAACAGAGTAGAGACAACTGCATGATCTATCTATGAATAAATTACTATTATCTACTGTGTAGATGGAGTATAGGAGGGGATTGTTAGTAATTTAATAACAATAAAACCTAAAACTGACTTTACTTATTTGTTGATGAAGTGAAGTCACCGCCAGCGAATAAAAATAGCGTAAAGGAATCATCATTCCATTTACATTTAAAAAATGTACCTCGTTAAGAAAATTATGCACATACTCACCAACTTTAAAGGCTTCTTCTCTTATTTCGTGCAGCACTTTAATTCTAGTGATATTTTCAAGTAATTTGTATATACTTTCATCTATAAATGACTTGACCCAAAGATTCCATTTCTGTATGGAGTCAGTAATATCCCCTTTCGCCAGAGCTTGGACTTCTTTATTTGATGACAACCTGTATAGAAAGATTTTTATATATTATATAAAATTTTATGTTTAACGAACCCACAATATTATTAATGTGACCAAAACATATTATTAAGCGACTGGAATAAAAACTTGCTTGTTATTTTCGGTATCAAATTAATCAAGCAAAATTTTATGATAATTAGTTGAACCGTTCCAGCGCCAAGAGCTATATAATTAAACGAAGTTATATAAAAAATACTAGTACATACATATAATTTAGTTCCTATTAAACTTAATGAAAATTTAAACAAATAATTGATTTGACTATAGGAGTCTGATGTCAAATAGTAGTATAAATCTGAAATCAATTGACTGAATACTTCAATTTGTTATTACTCATAATTTCATTCACATACAATGATTCCTTGTTTCTGTTACAACTTTTCATTAATTTTTACCATACAGACCATATATTTATCCACCGTATCGTCTCGGCATAGAATAGGCCACTCCTTCCTTTCCAGCAGGTGTCGTAAGAGGCGACTAAGAGAACTTAATGGCCAATAATAGGCTGCAGCGTTAAAACATCTCCAAGGTCAAACTACGGTTGCCAACCCACCTGCCAAGCATGGCAACTGGCAAAACCCCCAATAGAGAAAGACCTGTGTTTAATTAACTGCTATGATATGGTATAAATTTTTCCTGCACTTCTCACCTGTAGTTGGAGACAACTGAAGGTAGTAGCTTTAAGCCAGAGGGATCACTAAAGTGTACCAACTCAATCAGCGGCTGTGAATCTTTGCTAAATAACTCAGTCAACTTCTTTAGAACTGCTCCACCGTCATTATCTGTTAATTTAATATGGAAAGTATTGTTTTGAACTTAGAAATTAATAAGATAACACTAGATGGTGATGTGTAACTTGTCTAGTAGGGGGGAAGGGGATTCTTAGTAATGTGGCTTAATGGCCCCATTGCTAGCAAGCCTTACCAGGTCGCCCTCCACATGGTTCCCCCTGGAAGCCATTGTGACTAATACTTATTGCATTCGTCACGAGGGGCTAACTGATCTGTATTCATGCTCATCTATCATCCCTCACTGGTGCCCCGCCAGTGTATACCGATAGCGCAGGCAGGGTCGCCATTTTATTATCATCCATTAAAAAAAAACTTGTCTAGTAGTATGACCATATAACTCGGCAACATTTAGTCATAAAGTAATTAGTAAAAACCAATCTTTGGGTGTTACTGGCCTTTTAAAAAGAAATATGCTCTTTTCGTAAATGTTCCAGGCCTTACTTACCTACAAAGCAAGCATACACCAATACAACAGTTTTCAACACAATTTTCACACCATTCACTATTTTCTCTTTAATCCGTGCCTTCACATCCCCTTCCAATATACGAGATAGGTCAAACTCCAGCGTGGACTTAAGGCTACTGTTGCTCTGCAAGCTTATCAGAGTATTGAGTAATTCCACCATATTTTGGGAGTCGAGTAGATATAAACTGACGAGACAGGAACATGCTACCTGAAAATATATATAAAATAAAATAAGTAAATAAATTACACACCCTTTGGCATAGTAAAAGGCATGTTGTTTTCTGTAAACAAAATTTAGATTCGATTCTCTATGTCCTCTATATTAAGATCGTTATCAAGTTAAGTTTCCGTAGTGAACAGCAGTGTCCCTCTTAAAACATCACCAGAGACAATGTGTGGTTACCAATTTGGAGAAGATATGTATATATATATATATATATATATATATATATATATATATATATATATATATATATATGTCTATGATGTGCATCTGTATATTTACACCATAGAACACACATATACACATATGTAACACATCATCCCTAATGCATTTCTACTAAACAGTCACATAGACCTCTTGGTAATCGAAGGCACCAGTGAAGATTAATTTAGTGAAGATAATGGTTTTTCAGAAGAAACCACATGGACCTTCGTAGTAATGCACTGATCTCATTACTAACAATTGTATTCCCGCCATTACCATGGGTGTTAAAGTTCTCTGTGATATCCATAGTGGTGTTATGTCTGTATTAATAGTTTTTCAAGAAATGGGTTAGCAAATTTTCCAATATACAAGTATTGTTGCTTTAAAGCAGACGATAGATAGCCAGAGGGAGACTTTGTACAAAAGTCGTTTGCACCTTTGTCCCGTTCGTGTTTCAAGCATAAAGCAGTTGTGGTTGGTATGACTGTGTTTCGGATAGAAGGGTGGGATATGGCGTGAATTTACAGGGTACAGAGGAATAACACCTGAGTCTTCAGGAATGGTAACACATGGGGGGTATCATGGGCGAAACAGTATACTCTGTTATGTCCATGGTACTGCTCATGTTTATAGGCGATGGTTACCACTTTCCATCAGGTGGGCTGTCAGCTTGATTGCCATTCTGAGTTGTATAAAAAAAAGTTAACTGAGTGGTATAATATACATGTTTTTCAATATACTAATAATCTTTTTATCACAATTATTACCTCAACAGTAATATTAACATCTTGTAATTTTTGCTTGCATACATTGACAATAGTTTGACTAAAGTTTGATATTGAATTCCATTGCTGTTGAACAAGCCTTTGCAGAGATTCAAAGCCGGGTTTTGTGTTCTTACCCCCAATTTGAAGCTGTAAACCTGGTAAAGTCAAAATGTATTATAATCTCCACTGCATATTATATATAGCAGAAATAGAAAATAAATAAAAAAAAATACAGTCTGCTAGAAAATGAGTATTTCATACGAGACATTGTATGAAAAAATTAAAATTTGTGTCTTCATTTCCTAAACCATCATTCAGCCTTTAACTGTACACTGCTGAACATAAGCCTCTCTCTTGGAGGGTTTTGACAGTAGTTGCCACACTTGGCAGACAGATTGGCAACTGCAGGCTTGGATAGATTGTTTTAAGAAGGACACTACTGCCAATCATTCATGCTCCTTTAGTCACCTCTTATAAAATCCATGGGAAAGGAAGGAGTGGCCTATACTATGCTGGGACCACACAGCAACTTCATACATATTGCTCTTATATTATATGTAATGGTATATTAAAACTAACAAACCTGTATTAATGTGTCTTGCCATTATAAATAATTGTGTAGCCTTTACAAAATCTTCACAGTCTATACATGTCCATATCTTTTCAGGTATTTCCATCAATAGTTTCACTTGAATTGATAGGCTGTGAACTGGGCTTGTATTTAACTGAAAACTAAAAAATTAAAGCTATTAATTATATTACTTTATAAACTATATAATTAAGGAATTGGAGTCTCTAAATTACTATGTGAAATGTAAGAATTTTAGAAAAAAAAAAAAAAGTTTAAATAAAATTCATTAATTTCAGCTTGCTTTATAATCATAAATTATAAAAACAAGTTGAAATTAATAAGCTTTGTAAGAAAATATTGATCAACATGATTTGACTATCACAATATATCATGTAAAGTAATTATTATTGCACATTTACTATGTCAATGAAGGAAAATAAATTGTTCATTAATGTACCTATGCACTGGCTCTGACTTTTTATCAATTTTGAAACCAACTAAATGGGTGTTGTGAAGATTCCTGCAAGTAGATATCATTTCATTTATATGATTCAGAGTACTTGCAGTGGTCACTTTCATTTCTTCTATAGTATCTGCGGCTTGAATCAGGTCCCTGTATCTTTCTCTAAAAACATACACAAAGTTTTATCATGAATTTACTTTTCTAAAACATAAATATGTCTTCAACATAGAAAAATAACAGAGGATGTAATCTGTAAAAATTCATCAATCGAATATGACAATTCTTAACATAACCAGCTTAAGAATTGAAATTGTGTCATTAATCACACAAAGCAAGAAGCCTGGGTCAATGATAGAAATTCACATTAGGGGTCTAAGGGTGCACTGACTATCATCTTTAACATATATCATCACACCAGGTCCCCTATAAATTATAGAAACAAAAGAGCGAGTGCCAAGAATTTGTATTAAAATATAAAATTAGTTTGCATCAGTAGCACTTCCATAACAGAGAAAACCTTAGCTCAACATCAGAAGGTTTTCTGCGCCTTCATTGACCTTGAAAAGGCTTATGATAGAGTGGAGAGGAATGAACTGTGGTCAACACTGGCAATGTATGGGGTGAGCAGCCATTTGATACGGGCATTCAAATCTTTATATAAGGATTCAAATGCCTGTGTCAGAATAAATGGAGTCTATACAGACTGGTTTGGCATTGAACGCGGTGTTAGACAGGGCTGTGTAGCATCTCCTTGGCTGTTCAACCTATTTATGGACAGTTGCTTGACCGATTTGAAAGGATCTAATTGTGGATTCAGGATGAATGAGTCTCTGTTTAAGACTCTTTTATACGCCGACGACCAAGTACTTTTTGCATCGTCGGAGTATGAATTACAACAAATGGTGACTATAATGAATGAAGCGTATGCAAGAAAAGGTATGAAAATAAATGCGAAGAAGACGAAGGTAATGGTTTTGAGAGGAATGAAAGTTTAACGGCATGCCAGATTATGATAGGAGATGAAAAAGTAGAGCAAGTGAGTGAGTTTCTATATTTAGGTTCTTTGTTTACGAGGGATGGGAAGTGTGACAGAGATATTGAGAGGAGAGTAAAAGCGGGAAACAGTGTTAACGGTGCACTGCTCTCGATTATGTCAAGTAAAAATGTATCGAGCAAAGCTCGCCTTGCTATAATTCAAGGAGTACTGACACCAACACTCATGTATGGAAGCGAATCGTGGGTATGGCAGAAGAAGCATGAAAGTAAGATAAATGCTGTACAGATGAGAGCTTTGAGAAGTACGAGGTCTGTCCGGAAAGTTCGTATAAAAGTGTTCTGGAATGCGAGAAAAGGAGTGAGGCCAGGTAAGCGCAGGACCCCTTCCTTATGTCCCTAACAATGCTTCAGTTCTGGTCTGACCGCCGTGCGGTGCGAATATTGTCACGCCATCTGTTTTTCGAAACCCCGTCGGCATGGAGCCCGCTTCCGTTGAAGAGCAGCGCGTCGTAATCTTTTCTCTCGAAACTCGGCAAGAATGGCCGTGAAATTTTTGCCGATCTAATTCGATAAGACATCCGGGGAACCACGAACAAAAAAATCAAGAAAATCCCGCTCAAATGTCAAGACAATGTCGATTGTTTTTTTCGATGTTCGGGGGATTGTCCATCAAGAATTCGTCCCTCCAGGCCAGACAGTTGATGGAAAATTCTACGTCGATGTGCTCAGACGCTTCAAAGCTCGTGTGGCACGAGTTCGTCCAGAATTGGCGCGAGAGGGGCGTTGGATTCTTCACCACGACAATGCCCCTGCCCACACCTCTCTTGTTGTCCGTGAGTTTTTGAGTAAAAATTCCATTACGGTGACCGAACACCCCCCTATTCGCCGGATTTGGCCCCGTGTGACTTCTTCTTGTTCCCAAAAACCAAATTGGTACTTCGGGGGCGGCATTTGGGGGACATAAATGAGATAAAAAAAGCTACGACGGGGCAGCTGAGAAACCTACAACCAGAGGACTTTCAAGGAGCCTTCTCACAGTGGAAACGGCGTTGGCACAAGTGCATTATGTCACAGGGGGAGTACTTTGAAGGGGATAAAATTGATTTACCTGAATAATTGTAAAATAAAATTTTTAAAAAACTTTTATACGTACTTTCCGGACAAACCTCGTATGTGTGGTGTTATGTATAAAAATAATGGGTAATTTGATTCAGTCAATTGATGTGGGTACCTGTATAATAGTTATGACAATTAAAATAGTTTTGCTTCCAATCTCAACCAAGTTGTATCTTTTAATGGCGACTGATGAAAATAAATGTAATTATGCGAAAATGACGTCAAATCTTACGAATATAGTGCTTCCGGGACATTTTAATCCAAAAACAGATAAATGGAGGGATTATAAAGAGCAGTTATTATGTGCGCTCGATGCCGCGGGTTATGGTGAACAGAACATCGATAAAGCGCGTTCATTGTTTTTATCTCAGTGTGGAAAAGACACTTATGGCTTAATTGTATCTCTATTAGTACCAAATCGACCAACTGAAGTGGAATTTTCCCATATACTACATGTTTTAGACAAATTTTATGAACCGGAAATTAATGAAATTTTACAAACGGAAAAATTTCATAAACGTCATCAATTACAAAATGAAAGCGTGCAGGACTTTGTAGCAGCTATAAGTTTATTGGCTGTTAAGTGCAACTTTTCGGACTTGCAACGTCAGTTGAGAGACAGACTGGTGTTAGGGGTTTGTGATATACGCTTGAAAAGAGAATTATTGAAAACAGAAAAGCTAACTTATGAAAGTGCTTTACAAATGTGTCTCAATTATCAAGCTACATGTTTGGATTTATACCCTGATAACATCCTGCAGAAGCAAACTCCGTTCCATGTTACGGAACCTATGGAAATTGGTAGGATAAAGTCAAATGACTGTCGACATTGTGCAAGACTACATAAAACTGGTGAGCGCTGCCCGTTTGTGAAAGCAAGATGTTACTTTTGTAAACGTGGGCATATTGCATCTGCTTGTGAGAGGAGATTGGCGAAAGTGCATCAGACTACAGAATGTGGGGAGGGAAGCTGTAAGTCCTTGCCCGAAGAGATGTTGGGGGTGTATAATTGTACAGAAAAGTACCTTTCAGCAATTAGAGCTGATGTGATAATAGATGGTGTGAGCCTTTCCATGGAAATTGATTCTGGAGCTTCGAGAACAATTATTTCAGAGGAAACTTATTACAAATTATCACCACCCCCACTGAATCCTACCAACATAAAATTAGTGACTACACGTGAACCACTGAAAGTGCTGGGACTGGCTATGTATGGGCTTTTCAAGGAGGCACAATGTGAGCTGTTGGTGATAACAGGCAAGGGACCAAGTTTATTAGTTTTCAACCCTCTGGATATACATGTTTCTGGATTGTGCTGGTCTAATGATAGCATCCTTCATAGACAAATTTCTGATTTATTTAAGAATGATTTAGGAGAATATATTGGTCCAGAAGTTTCATTACATGTACGACCTGAGATGGCACCGAAGTATTTTAAAGCTCGACCAGTACCATTTCCACTTAAACAACAAGTGGAAGCTTAAACAGATGATTAATGATGGCGTTTTGACACCAGTTAAGTATTCAAAATATATAAGTTGTTAAGAAAGATGATGGCACACTCCGTATCTGCGGAGATTATCGTGCCACTGTTAATGCTGCTATAAATACAGATACATACCCACTGCCCACATCAGCTGAAGCTTTTGCAAAGTTAAGTGGAGGACGTTTGTTTAGTAAAAAAAAATACACAGGTGAAGGTGGATAAGGAGACAGCTGAACTGTTAACGCTTAACACTCCTATGGGACTCATGAGGATGAATTTTGGCCTTTGGTGTGAGTGCTTTTCCAGCGATTAATGTCATTGTAGACATGGAAGGAGTAGCATGCTTGCTCGATGACATTATGTGGGAGAAACATTGAAGAACATAATGAAAGGTTGCAAAGTTTTAAGCAAATTGAATTCAATGGGATTTCGTCTTAATGTAAAGAAATGTATTTGCATCAGACATTACCTTTCTGGGACATATGATTGATGGTGAAGGACTACATCCATATCCAGTAAAGGTCAAGGAGATTAAAGAGAAACCAGCACCTCAGAGTAAGGTGGCGTATTATATATATATATATATTAGATGCAAAACGACCCTGGATATGGGGTGAAGCAACAAGTGGCCTTCAACAAAGCTAAGAATCTTTTATCATCAGATTTGACATTAGTTGGATATGAATTAAACAGAACACTGCTATTAATTTGTGACCCCATTATGGTCTAGTATCCATGTGATGGATGATGGATCAAACGACCGATTATGATGGCTTCACGAACTCTTCAGCCACATTTATGGACAAATTGACAAGGAAGCCCTAATTATATTTGGTATCAAAAATTTCATGAATATTTGGCAACGTAAATTTGATATTATTACGGACCATAAGCCGCTTGTTGGTCTGTTTAACCCTTTAAAACCTATACCTGACCAAATATCACCAAGAATGTTACGGTGGTCGCTGAAAACATCTTGTTATAATTATAATATTAAATATAGGCTTATTGAAATGCGATGGACAGCCTAATACGTCTGCAGGGGAAGAGGAACGTCTAAGAGAAGTACTTTTACTTGATGAGCAGCCAGTGGGGTGGGACCTTGATGTAACACGGATTGCAGTAGAAACTAAGAAAGATCCAATTCTACAGAAAGTTGTTTCATATACTACATGAATTTTCCATATTAACCATTTTGTCTAGACATAGTAAAGGATGTTTACTATGGAGCAACAGAGTATATAAACTGCATAAAGTTTTTGAATTATTACATGCTCCCCATGCTGGCGTTGTTCAGAAAAAAAATGTTTGGTGGGTATATGGATCTACACATTGAGAGAATTGTGCAGACTGTGTGCTTGTCAACAAGTGAGAAATATCCATATCCACAGGCTTGGATACCGGTAGGGATTTTGCAGGAATATAAACATTTTTTGTACTGGTGGATAGTTATACAAATTATTCCATCAATGAGCAGTGAGACAATTATTAATGTATTAAGGAAGATACAAGGATTTTGATATATTGGTATCTGATAATGGCAGGGCTTTTAGTTCTGAAGAGTTTAACTCTTTTCTGAAAAAGAATTATATAAAGCACAAGTATTCACCCCCGTATCATCCTGTCATATGAAGGATACAAACATTTAAAAATAAACTTAAGAAATTTTCATATGCCAATTGTAACATATCTTGGCCTGAAAAGCTATCGAAAGTATTGTATCATTTACGCACAGTACCGAATAGCACTAATAAAACACCAGCGGAAATTCTAAATGGCCGTGATATAGAACTGCTGTTTCCAATTTACACCCTAATTGTGTACCAGATGATGCCCAGAAGCAACTAAGCTGTTCTCATTTATATAAATCAAGAGTACTTTATGAGCAGGACGGAAATGGCTCAGGGCTACCATTGTGGAGGTTTCTTCTATAGTAGAACAGAGGATGGGGAGATACATAGGCTGTAGATCAGATTTTATCAGGTAGCAAAGAGCATACTATGTAGACCATCCTTCAACCAGATGATATTGTACCTGAGGCTAAAAACATACCCTGACAATATAATTGTTTTATCATGATTAATATAAAGAGTATCTTAGTCTATGTGCTGATTTCTGTAAACATATAATATTAATTGTACTTCAAGATTATAGAGATATGTATAAAAATAATGGGTAATTTGATTAAGTCAATTGATGTGGGTACCTGTATAATAGTTATGACAATTAAAATAGTTTTGCTTCCAATCTCAACCAAGTTGTATCTTTTATGTGATATTACTTTAAAAGATAGAGTAAGAAACAGTGTGATTAGAGAGAAGTGTGGACTGAAAGACAATGTAGTGACAAAAATTGAAAAAGGAATGTTGCGTTGGTTTGGTCATTTGGAGAGGATGGATGAAAGAAGAATTACGAAAGAGATTTATCGAGCAAGAATGAATGGAGATGTCGGTAGGGGCTATCATCTTTACGGACATATATCATCGACCAAATAGGCGACGTGCTGAAGAAGGGTCAAATTAAAAATACCCGTAATCGGCGAGCGTGTATGAAAAGATTGATGAATGTGGAAGAAGCGAAAGAGGTTTGTTTGAATCGAAGCATTTGGCGTTTCATTGTTTTGCCTACCCTAATGGGAGATATAAGATATGTATGTATGCATCAGTAGCACTTCAAGATACTCACCCGACCATAGCACGTAAATCCTCTTTCTTTCTTTCAATCTCATATTGTAACTTCTTCTGCACCTGATCTATATCGGCGATAAAATAATTCCGAAATAACTCTTCAGGCACTATTTCTAATAAATTAGATTGGGACATTTTTAACGATGTTTAAAGCTTTTTAGTATTTAAATACAAAAGAAGACAACTTGCATTGCTAAATTCTTACGAGACTACTCCTTACTAACTTAAATTCTTATAAAATTCAATAAAAACAGAAAGATAATTAAAGATGGAATGACACAAGTGCCACAACAACAATAATGAAAAAAGAATTTTGGTCGACAGATGTCTCAAAACGATGTCAAACTGACATCTGACAATCAGTAAAATTTTTTTTTTCGTAATGGTTTTACTACTTTGAATATATCCTTTTAGCGCATCTTTAATTTTTATTACTTTCATTAAAGCGAATTTTTCTTTTTTTTTGAAAAATGTATATAATTGAATCCATCTTGATGTAATTATAGTGTTTTAATAGTGTGGAGAATAAATTCATGGATAGTTGTACATTAAGGGCAGTACATGCTGTCCTGCATTAATATATAAAACGGAGTGTATATAATTCATTGCGCTAATAGAAACAATTTTTGAAAAGTTTTTCTAAAGAAATTACCATATTATTGGTGAAAAAACATGTCCAGGGTACCTATATAGAAACAACTAATCTTTTAGTATTGTACTTTCAAATAAAGAAATATACTCCATATCTGTTATTTTGAACATGTTCAACTAGTCACAAACCGTATAATAAATATATTTCATGTCTCATGTTAATTCAGATATAATATGAAAATCTATGTTAAAGTTAAAAAATGTACGCTATTCACCCCTTCTGATAAGGAACAGTCAGTTTAATAGTAGACTACCTATTTTATCAAAGCTATACATAGTTACTATACGTATACTTTTTTTAACAAAAGTCAAATGTCAAGTTTGACAATCAAAGTGCTTTTTTCCGGATAGTAAATTTTGTCGTGTTTTTTGATCGGTTTTTCGTCATGATTAGCTTTGCAAACTTGTTCATTTATTTCGTTGATGCATAAGTCGTATTTGTAATTAATTATATGTTTCAGTATTGATGAATACTGGTTGAATTTTGGCGTGTCGTAGGATACATAATCCTACGCAATTGTGTTAGGTTATGTTATGTTCACGGTGTATTTAGGGTGAGAAGTAAGTATAAATTATATTATTACGGTTTTGTTACAGATATCATTAGTAGTTCAATAAAATTTAAAATTATCTACTTTGTAAAATATAAATTTATGTATTTAATAATACCGGCATTTTTTCAATTTTTATAACGCTGTCTAGGTTTCAATCCGCTATGTAAAAGTGGATTTTTATGTATATAAGCAATTAACCATTTTAGGAAGTATGTGTAATAATAATATTTTGATTTATGTTAATAAGCATACAATTTTTGATTAAAAAAATCTCCATATATTTGCACATATGTCAATATGCATATGTAAATTTATAAAAAAAATACACTATTAATACAGGTTATTTAATTAATATTTATCAGGAGTTTCTTATATAATTTCAAATTAAATGCATTAGAATATGTAACATACATGTTTATAGATAATTAAATGAAAATTTATATTCTTATAGTAGTAGATGTAAGTAAAAGTTGATAATGGGTATATGTATTACCATTTTTAAAAACACATTTGAAAAGAAAAAAGAAACAAATGAACAGTTTCTTGTTTAGATATGTAATGATGAGTTATAAAAAACTTCTTTCTCTTATGTTCCTTAGTATTAGTATATACATATATACTTTTTTTTTATTATTTCAGTTTATTGTCATTCAATGAATTGGAACTATTAGTATTCTGTGTAAATAGTAAACATTTATTAAGTGCATAATTTTGCATCTTTAGTAAGCATGCTGCACATTAACTTGAGGTACCTTTTAGTTATATTGATGTGATATTTCAAGTTACTCATAATTAAAAAAGGAACAAAATTTTTATTGTTAGGAAACATTGTTTCTTAGATAGCTTTTTCCATATGTCAAAAGTTCATTTTAATTTTTGGAAAGGAAAAGGAATCAAGTATAAATGAAAGAAAAAAAAAAGAGTCAAATATATTTCTTTTTCTTTGACAATTGTTTTTCAAGACAGAAACAGTAAATTATTAATAAAATATTATGATTAGGTTATAGTTAAAAATATATGTATACCACATTTTTTATTTAGTTCTTAAATAAATTAAATTTTTATTGGGTAGTATAACAAACTGCTTAAAGTAATTGGTAACATTCATTGATATATTCATATTTATGTATGTTGCTTTAATTATGGGACTTCCCCAATCATCTTCACATGGTGTAATATTTTGATTAAGAGAATTATTACAATATGACAATTCTCAAACTTAGGTTATGTTTAGTGTTACAACAAAATATGTACAAATTTACTTTTATGTTTTCTAGAAATTTGTGATTATTTTTCATTACATTATTTTATAAATGTATTAACTTGCTGAATTCTTATTCTATTTATGAGAAAATTTGAAATGATTTTGGTTTTATTTAATAGAAAGTTGGGTTAAATTAAGATCAATTTACTTAAATATATGATTGAAAATAAAAAAAAATTACATGTTTTAATAATGATACCATTTTCTTTTTTTTATGCAACTTAGAATGGCAAACAAGCTGACAGCCCACCTGATGGAAAGTAGTAACCGTCGCCTATAGACATGAACAGTACCATGGACATAACAGACTACACTGTTTCGCCCATGATATTCTGGCGTTGCCATTCCTAAGGACTCAGATGTTATTTTTCTGTACCCTGTAAATTCACTAACTGTAAATAAACTAATATTAACTTGATATTAGTTTATTAATAAACAAGAACCCCAAACATCTCAGCATTTTTTATTAAACAATTTTGGAAATTATATAGAAATAAGTACATAATAATGAAAAAAGTAAAAATTTAAAAACATTGTCTTTAATTTCTTGTCTTAAAATTCTGGAATAAAAATGTATACCAAACCCTTAATTGTTTAGAACCAGAACCTCAAAACTCTTTTTTAATTGTAATATACAGATATATGTTAAATTTTCTTAAAATCAGTGTGGAGATAAAAAAAAAATATTTGAGATTTCTTATTAGAAAGAATTAAAAAAATAAAAGATTGTTTCAAATATTTAGTTTTACATATAATAATTTTGTGGAAAGAATTTTTTTGTAATTAAAATATTTAGCAAGGACCATCTGAAAGTAACCAATCATCATCATCATCATATCAGCCTTTAACTGTCCACTGCTGAACAAGTCTCCCCCTTGGGGGCGTCTTGCCAGTAATTGCCACACTTGGCAAGCGGATTGGCAACTGCAGTCAGTCTTTGGTGATTTTTTAAGAGGCACGCTTCTGCCCATCCCTAACCCTCCCTTACTCAACTCTTATTACATCCACGAAAAGAAGGGGTGTCCTATTCTATTCTGGGACCACATGGCTCGGTATTAGAAAGTAACCAATAGCATTAAGATATTTACCTCATAACTAGTTGCCATTGTAGTTCATAATACAAAAGAATTGGGATAGATCTCTGTATTGTTCCTGATTAGGAAACTGGGTACTACTTGCATCTTTTCTATCATTTGACATTACCCTCTCTTACCATCCCCTCAAATTTAACCCTTTGCATAATGGTGGAAATTTCCATCATAACATTGAATGCCAAAAAATTAAAATATAAAAGAACAAGTTCACTTTGAGTCTGGATACATTTTTAATGTTCATTGCAGAAAAAAAATATAGCTGTTAAATTTATTTTTTTTAACCATTTTTCCTTTATTTTTGAACATGAATTATACCACCTTGATTTATTTCACCAATAAAAAAAAAATCATGCAAAGAAGGGTTAACCTAATATATCAAAAATTCATTAATGTGAATTTTATTATCTTGTCTATGATAGCTATTTAGTGGTGGTATTAGTATAGTATTGTCTATGGTAATGGCAATCAATCTTTTATTTATAAGAATAACTGCTCATTCTGTTTGTATAGTGTCTAGTGTGCATTTGTTTAGTAATAATTGAAGTAAGTTAATAAATGGCGAGTAATTTCTTTAAAGGTAATTGACATCATGGATCCAAACATCTATGCATTAGTGCTGGACACACTAAACCGTGCAACTAGCCAGGACACTGAAGTCTTGAAACCAGCTGAGAAGAAACTTCAAGAATGGGAGATAGAACCTGGTTTCTATTCTGTGTTATTGGTAAGTTGTATCTGCTTAATAGAACTAATACTGTCTTGAAGAATTAAACTAGTGAATATAGTATTGTGGAATTGAAAGTTGTATGGGAGTTCTTTACATAAACATGAAATGATATTGTAATCAATTGCATCTGTGCTTGAGGGAAAATAAAATTTAAAGTTGTAGTAAATCATATATACAGAAGAATCTTTACCAGAGGGAGACTGTACAAAAGTCGATTGCTTGGGTATCTCTGTCCCATTCGTGTTTCAACCGTGAAGCAGTTGTGTTTGCATGGCTATGTTTCGGTTTGAAGGGTGGGATATGGCGTGAATTTACTGGGTACAGAGGAATAACACCTGAGTCCTCAGGAATGGCAACACATGGGGGTGTCATGGGCTAAACAGTATACTTTGTTATGTTCATGGTACTGCTCATGTCTATAGGCGACGGTTACCACTTTCCATCAGGTGGGCCGTCAGCTTGTTTGCCATTCTAAGTTGTATAAAAAAAAAATTATACATGAAAGTAATTAGGCTCCCATAGGTATGTGAGGCTAATATCATATTAACACCCTATCATTGTTGTATCAGCCATTTACTGTCCACTGCTGAAAATAGGCTTCCACATTGGGGGGTTTTGTCAATACTTAGCGTGTCAATACTTCGTGATGTTTTAAAAGGCAAGCTGATGCCCATCCTTTGATAATTAAATTCCCTTAGTCAAATCTCACTACAGCCACTGGAAATGAAGGAGTAGTCCAATCTGTGCTGGGAGCTCTTTTAATATGGTACCAATACAATATTAATATGACATATAGTTATGTCCAATTTTCATGTTAGAATAAAAAAAAAGTTTCAAAATGTTTGTGATTTTTACACCCATATTTTATTTAAATGTTTAACAATAAACTCTTTTAATAAGGATACTAAATATTTCGACTTCACCGTGTATAGTGTAGGTGATATATAATTTGTATGAATTGTTCAAATATTATATTCACATTTCAACCTTGATGAAAATTAGGGGGCGTCCACGTATTACGTAACGCAATTTTTTACTCTATTTTAAATCTTTTAGATTGTTTACTCTCCATTTCTATGTATTGCGCCGTAACATTTTTCTGTTTTCCTTCTACCCTCCTTAAAAGTTATAACACCTAAGCGATCATTTTTACCTAAAACATAAATGAAAAAAGATTGAAAGATTGCCAACTTGGTAGATTTTAATTTCTTAGTGTCTTACTTAGAGAAGTCCATTAAATTAACACCAATGACATATTAGTTAATGATAATTGATGTATTCGTCGTTAATAGCCCCTAATGAATCGTTAATTAAATGACTGTAAGTGCAGCAATTATTTTGTATTTAAATAAATAAAACAATGTTCCGTAACGCGTTGCTCGAACCCTTTTTCTAGCTCCTGTAACATATCGTAATATTTTACAAGACATATTCCCTCCCTTTCTTTATTTTCGCACCCTCAACTAGTTTCTCAAATACTGTTACTAGATATTAAGATTGATACTCTTTGTAATTAAAAACTTATTGATATTTTTAAGGATGTACTTTCCAACCATTCCATTGATATCAATGTCCGATGGCTGGCTGTGATGTGCTTCAAGAATGGAGTTGACAGATATTGGAGACGGAATGCACCCAATGCCATCGCCGACGATGAAAAACATAAATTGAGGCAAGGTTTGCTAACAACGAGTATATTGAATGAACCAGTCGCTCAAATTGCGATGCAACAGGCTGTTCTAATTTCAAAAATTGCTAGGTATGTATATTTATTAAATTAAATTTAACATAAAATTAAAGTGCTAGTATTTTAATCCAATAAAAAATTATTAATGTGAGTAATAATGGATCTTTAAAAGATTAAAATAAAGCTATAATTAAACCATAAAGAAAAGTTTCGTTTTCTTTCTTTTGTTTTTTTTATTTTATTTATTTATTTCCTTAGAAAAATATCAACTTAAACTAAAACAACGTGTTTTAAGTGCAGCTCATTTTCAGGTTCGACTGTCCAACAAATTGGCCTAGTTTGGTTCCAGAATTAGTAGGTGCATTGAAGGCACCCCAGCCTTTAGTTCAGCATAGATCACTATTAATATTTCATCACGTCGTCAAAGCGTTGGCCTCTAAAAGACTTATTGGTGATCGGCGGACATTTCAGGTGTGTTCATTTATAACAAAATCATATGGGTCAAGTAAATACTACTGGATATATCACACAGCGCCATCTAGTTGCAAACTAAGCAAAGTTTGTATTATGGGTTCTAGATAATTGGTAGACTAGTCTTTAAATACATACATATTGTACGTAGTAAACATCCAAACCAGTACAAATATAAATACTCATGAATGCAAATGTTTTTATTGTACAGTAGTCGAACCAGCAACCATCGGAAGGTAAATCGTTGTGTTAAGCCGCTAGACCACCAAGGTTAGAAAAATCTGTATATTATTTTTATTTTGCGAAAATTAGTTCACAATGCTGAATAAAGAATCTCTTTCCCTTATGTACTGAGTTGTGTGGCCGGACTATTGCTACTTATCATGTTGACTTTTTGGACTATAATAAATATATATGTATATATAATATATTGTGGTCAGAAGGGAAAAAATGTTAGGACACTTGATACGACACGATGAACTTATGAATATTATAATATAAGGTAAGATAGAAGGAAAGAGGGGAAAATGGAAACCAAGACATAGTTACATCAGGCAGATCAAGGAAAAAGTTGGTGTTGTGTCGTATCAAGAGCTGAAGAGATTCGTTGAAAATCGTAGTGAGTGGCAAGAATCTATTGATAAAAGCGTAGCCTTTAAAGGAAGTAGGTAAACCAATGAAATAAACTGCTTCTAGATGGCGCATCAAAATGAAACATACACCTAATTTTACACTAGTTCTTCAGGGACACAACTGTGAAAACTGAATCTAACAGTAATTCTAATTGGTGCAGTAGTTTTTGGGTGATGTCAGACAGACATATAAAAATTTAAAATATAGTGAACGCTCTATATAAGCAACCTCTCTATAAGCAACATTCTTGACATTTTATTTATTTTACTCGGCTTTGTAAAAGAAATAAGTAAAAATATTTTCCAGACGGTAAATTATTTTTATATTCCTTTTTTCCCTATAAATAACTTTTCCCAATAATTTTTTTTTTATTGATATTGGTTCAAATGAGTTGCTTATATAGAGTGTTGCACTGTATATTATTTTGACATTTATTGGTGTAATTATGACCTCTTCTTTTTTTTTTAACATTTCTCATGTACAGATATCTATAGATATGTCTAGTCACAATTTTATATTAGTAATTGAAATAAAAGGATTTCTTTTTGTTTTAGGAGTTAACCAATTCAGTATACGCTTTCATTCTCAACCTTTGGCACGAGAATACCGAGTTATTCCTTCGGCACATTCAAGAAGGCGCAGCTACAGAATTGATCACTGAACATTTGGAAAAGGCTCTTCTTTGTTTGAGGATACTGAGGAAACTTACCGTCTTTGGTTTCAAGAAAGCACATGAGAGTCAAGACGCTATTGCGTTTCTGAATGTTGTGTTTGATAGAGCTAAAACTAGCTTAGAGTGCAGTAAGTTATTTTAATATATTTTTTTATTATATCAGAATATAAACTAGTTTGACAAGTTGATGGAAAGTGGAATGAGGGATCGGGGAACATAAATATACCATGACGATGTGGTGCCGTGACCAGGGTTATTGGACAATGTTATTTCCTATTAAATGTTTCAAAATAAATTTATTGTTGTCTTAAGATTTTTTTTTAACTTGATGGTTGCTATTGTATATTATTATCTCTAAATATCAATAGGGTAGGACATATGCAAGCTATCAATTGACCTTAAAGTGATTTCAAACCTAGAAAGCTTAAAGCTTTCTAGTTTTGAGAAAAGAGCGAAAATAATAACTTTATAATCGTTGGTGAGTGTAAGACTATTTTATAGGAGAGCCAAGTTTCTTAAAAAAGGTGCATATGTACTCTCAGGAATGTCTATGAGAAGCTTCGTTCGAATTCTGGGGTGGGCACGTACCACTCGGCCTTTCTAAATATATTTCGTTCTTCAAATGTAATGTATATATTTTTTTCTTTTTTTATGCAACTTAGAATGGCAAACAAGCTGACGACCTACCTGATGTTGCGCCCATGTTACCCATATGTATATATATTGCAATTGCATTATGCGGTGCAGGAAGAAAACCATAGGCGTGGGTGTGAATAATATACATAACAACCACTTTCTGTCTAAATATATAAATAATACCTTCATATATCAGTCATGCCGCTAGTTTAGTACCAGGTTAAGGTTCTTTGACGTAATTGAACTGTCTTTTTTTTAGGAAAGCTTCTTAAGGGTCGAGGTATTCATCCACTGGAGCTGTGTGAGAAGTTCATAATACATCTGACGAAAGTGGCCCTCGGTGTGCTATGTTTTCATCCATTCTCGTACGTGCCTCTCATTCGACCGTCTTTAGAGTTCGCATTGTATTACTGCTTCACGGAACAAGGCATGTCTCTTATTTACGGGAGGTTTACTATACAATGTTTGAATATTGTGAAGGGAATATTGCAGTGTGTCGAATATAAGTTGCCAAAGGGAATGGATCAGATCAAGGAGCCATGTAAGTATTTTATTTTTATAAGACAGTGAGATTTTAAATCTTGAGTAATGTGTATGTGTTTTCGTATATTTGTTAATGGAGATTTTTGAAGAAATTACTTTATTAAAAAAAATTTAGACTTTTTTTGGGTCGTGGCTTAACGACTTTGAATAGTTCATTTTTAAATTTATATTGTTTTAAATTGCTTACTTCATTTAAATTGAAAGGCAGTGAATTGTATATTAATATAATATGTATAACTATTGCCATAACTGTGAAATGTGAAGTATTTTTTCATGACATACTTATAAATGATTTCAGTGACATTACAAGCTCACCAAGTGAAATCGGAGGTATTAGATCCTAATACAGTGTGCCACATGTGTCGACACCTGGTCACGCATTACTTCCTACTCAGCTCTGATGATCTGGCGTTGTGGGATGCAGAACCGGAGAGCTTCGCCACCGATGAAGCCGGAGAGTCCTGGAAGTATAGTTTGAGGGTAAGATGGCAATTTATAATTGGGTATTTTGGTGTTTCAGAGTAAGTTTTTAATATAATAATTTGTTTACCAGGGAATCCTTAAATTAAGCCATTAAGTATCATCATCATCATCATTTCAGCCATTTTTTGTCTTCTGCTGGACATAAGCTTCCCCATAGACTGTCATAAATTACGGTCCTGAGCTACCTGCAACTGAACTGATCCACTGACTGTCTTTCTACATTGCGTTTGCCTGTATGAGGTCGCCACTCAAGAACCGTGCTTCCCCTATCGGTTCTCGGTTCTTCGAGCTATGTGACCAGCCCATTGCCACTTCAGCTTGCTTACCCTCCTCCTTCTTTTTAGGATAGTTTTTTTTTTTAATACACGAAGTAAGGCAAACATAGCCCTTCGGATAATAATCGGTTAGTGCAGCCGTGAAACTGCAATACTGCAGGGATTACTCGCATGTTACCTTATGATATACTCATATATTCGTACAGTACTCAACATATAATGGCGTCGATTCCAAGACGTCATTTCTCTAGACCTATCTCTTAACTTAATATTTTAATTTGATCATCATCATTGTGAATTGCATGAATGATAATAGGAGTAGATCCTATTATGATCATAAAATGTAGGACCCAACAATTTTTCTTTTTAAATGTAACTTAGAATGGCAAACAAACTGATGGAAAGTGGTAATTGTCGTCTATAGACATGAACTATGGACATAACAGAGTATACTGTGTCGCCCATAATACCCTTCATGTATAGCCATTCCTGAGGATTAAGGTGTTGTAATTCTATACACTGTAATTTCATTACCATACTCCACTCTTCAAACCGAAACAGCTATACGAATACATATCATTTATAGCAGAAACACTAAAGTATAAAATTAAAAAAAAAATATATAATTTTAGCCATGTACAGAGGCCTTGTTTATGGAGTTATTCCAATTTCGCAACGTCCTGGCACCCGAGCTGGTGCGGCTACTTGCATCGTTGCAGCAGCGACAAATATCGCCCGACGATCTCCCCGCCATACTTAAGAAGGACGCGATATACAATGCAGTGAGGTTGGCGGCTTTCGACTTGTATGACGACGTGAGTTAACTTTGAGATCTACATATATAATAATATGTCACACTCTAAAAAAATGAAAGTGTTTCATACCAGTTGTTCAACAAATTTCTTTAGACAGTGCAATGTATACTGAGGTCTTATTGTTTGGAATATTCATTGGATTACTGGTTTTTTTTTTTATACTGTGATTAGTAAGTGGATATATATGGATACAGATGGTTAAGAAAAAGTGTTTTAACACTTAGTATCATAATCTACTAAATAGTGAAATAGTAGCAACTTTCACATATATAATATTAAGGATAATACTAATAGAATAATCATGTTTCTATTTCTAAATTATCGAAGCGATTTAGATGTTAATTGACAGAAAAAAAAATCAAAGAAATTTATTTATTTATTTATAGGATTACCAACATAAGATACAGCTAAACATTTTAATACAATACACTGGTAGATTAGATCTTACTGTTCTTACATTTATAGGCAACCACAGCATGCCTTGTGTTTGATAAACATTAAAATATAATTAAATTATTAAATGTCATTATATGAGTAAAGATATTAACAAAATGAATAATAATATAACATGAATAATAATATAAATTAATATAGTGTACATATAACATTAATATAAAAAATATGATATATTGTACAATACTTTGGTAGTAAGAAAATAATAAAAACAATTTCGTTTGCAGGTTGATTTTGACGAATGGTTTACAAATGTATTAAGTCAAGAGTTGAAAATCAAAGATAATAATTATAGGATTATTAGAAGAAGAGTATGTCAATTGATTGGTGAGTATTAAAGGAGAACGTCGGTATAATTACAAATAATGTTTTCTTTTTTTACTATTCCTTGTATGCAGTTCTAATTTTTAGACTTACGCATAGCATGGATTATGGTTTGTAAGAGATAGGAATTCATACCTATATGACTATAGGTAAAAATTGATAATTTACTTTTTTTTTTATAAAACTTAGAATGGCAAACTAGCTGACGGCCTACCTGATGGAAAGTGGTAACCGTCGCCTATAGACATGAGCAGTAGCATGGACATAACAGAGTATACTGTTTCGTCCATGATACCACCCATGCGTTGCCATTCCTGAGGACTCAAATGTTATTCCTCTGTACCCAGTAATTTCACGCCATATCCCAGCCTTTAAACCGAAACACAGCTATGCAAACACAACTGCTTCACGGTTTAAAAAACACGAATGGGACAGAGGTATCTGGCGTTCATACGCTACAGTAACCGCTTACCATTAGGTGGGTACGTACGTGGTACATATGTTTGCCACCTGAGAAAAGTATTTTTTTATTTAAACATTTCAATATAGTTTACGTTCATCACAGGCCAATGGTGTGGCGTTCGTGCATCCCAATCGCTACGGCCGGCAATGTACGAAGCTCTACTCGAACCGCTTTCCCGAGCGGACGAAGATGCAGCGGTGAAGCTTGCAGCCGCTGAAGCGCTGAGAAGTACTATAGACGATTTCAACTTCGACGTTGATCAATTTGCGCCGTACGCACCGCATGCGATTGCAGCACTTTATGAATTATTGGTAAGTGATTCACTATGTCGTAGATTCGTGATGCTAATTAAATATCTGTAATAATTGGATTCTATTATGAACACAGTACAAAGTAATATAAAAATGTAAATATAGTATGGTTGCATTTTTTTTTATAGTTTATTGGTATATTAGCTTTTACCCGTAACTTCGTCCATGTAACCGGGATAAAAAGTAGCCTATGTCCTTATTAATACTCATAGTCTATCGTAGCCGGTTGCTTTATTGTATAAATACATAAGTCGACTTTCTTTCTAGGTGGAATCCGAGGAGTGCGATACGAAGATGCATGTGTTGCACGTAGTGTCGTACGTGATGGAGCGCTGTGGCGCTAGTGTAGCCCGCGGCGGAGGCACCGGCGCGCTGTTCTCGTATCTGCCGCAACTGTGGAACCACGCCGCCTCGCACAATATGCTGAGGGCTGCTGCATTGTCTGCTGTGGTACATCTACTTAAGGTGAGTCGGGGTAAGGGAGTGAGGTGATCAGTTGCAAGTGAGGAAGTGACAAGTGTGTGAGTGGTGAGTGGCGAGTAATGTAGTGAAATGGTAAATAGTGAGTTAGTGATTTTTATTTTGAGGTAATACAAGTTGCTAGTGCGATATAAACGTGTCCCAGCGCTGTGGTATGAACTCGGCATTTGTTCAAATTAAGTGAGGTGATTAGTGGCGAATGAATTAGTTGGTGAAATTAATGAGCAACGTCTCTCTTAGAACATCATCATAGCCTAATTGCATTTGCCAACTTTTTTTTAACATCTGGAAAATGCTTTATGCAGACCCATACACCTTGTGGGAGGTGAATGGGTACTGTGGGAATCCCCCTGTAAGGGTGTTACCACCAAAAACCAGACGATCCTCGAGGTGCCATATGTCGGAGACATGGGTTCGCTTTCGCACTTATCACATCTCCAAAAGAATTTGCAGTTGCCAACCTGCCTGCCAATGCCTGCGGCATCTACTGGCAAAGCTCCCCTATTGCGAGATGGCTATGTTCAGCAGTGGATAGTAGACGGATGATATGATGAAGTTAGGTTTGGTAAATGGTGGATGTAGTTGATTAATACCATTGTGATCGTATAATGCCACAAGTGCAGCTGGATAAGTTTGCTCACCAGCAAAAAGTCCTAATATCTGCATATGGGCCGATAATATTTATGAATTAAGATTAATAGTGACTTGTGACTTTGTAGGCTCTTGGTGAATGCACACCAAACATTCGACCGTGGATACTGAGCGTAGTGAACGAGTCAACTAGATTAACAGAGCCGGCGCATGTTTACCTTCTAGAAGATGCTTTAGAGCTTTGGCTGGCTATATTGGAAACCTCGCACGCTGCTGATCCAGCGACGCTGCAACTTGCCGAAAACTTGTACCCTATATTAGGTAAGACAAAAGTAATGCTATGTTTACCATACGAAGACAATATGTACCTCTCTCATCTAAATTTCTCCTACATAGCTGTATACTGGCGTCCCCTTTTTAACCGATTTCAAAAATGAAGATTTTAAATTCGATTGTATTTTCTTATTTTTGTTACCACATAACTTCTTCATCTATAATATTTCACATGTCCTCTCTTAAGCAGGGAAGATGGCAATCAAACCTCTGGCAGAGGCATAGTTGGCCGGGGTTCAGGGCTCCAGAGAGTGAAACCATTACTATGCGAGTAATATCCAAGAGTACTGCTTTCTGGTTCTTTCTCGGAAGAGATTTGTCCCAGAATCTCAATCGTCTGAGGTATTATTCCAGACTGGTTGGGATAAGACTGTTCACTGACAGAATGATTGGGTTGCTTTCCATTGAAAGTACCTCTACATTTTGATCACCCCATGAGCCAAGTCAAGATATTTCTTATTATTTTCGGGATAGGTTTTCACAAGGTTCTCGTCATGCGGAGTAGTGACATCTGCAAAAAATACCCTCGGGAATGCCCGATTATTATTATTATTATCTCTTGTCTTACAGAACAATCAACCGAACACCTCCGGATAGTGGTTTATATAATGCAAGCATACACTCTGCTATGCCCAGAAGAGTTTCTCTCGGGCGTTGGCGGGAAGTGTATGGCTCTTTTGGAAGACATGCTGAGTGATATGCGGACTGAGGGAGTGATTACCGTATTAAAGATGGCGGAGATCTGTATTAGTGTATCGTTTCCAGAGAGGAACACGTTTTTGGGCGTTAAAGTTATATGGCCTATTCTAATTAGGGTTATTCAGTAAGTATTGTTTGATTTCTGTTCAAGTATATACATTTATCATGAATGGATATCAAATCATGATGGTTTCCAAAGGAAATCGCCCGGAGGCCAATCTAATCCCCATTGTAACAGAATACATTACTAGCTATACCTCATTAGTAACATCAGTGTCATGACCAAGGAGGTAACTGGCTTGCAAATAGAAAAATTGAAAAAAAACTGTTTATTGAAAAAAAAGGAAATCATCAGTAAAGGATTATTGGTGTCTCTTAATCTTAGAAATTTTATTGTTTCGGTACCGCTCCGATATCTATATATTGTGTTCTCAAATATGCTTGGAAATGTGAGCATTATTTTAACAATCTTCTTCGAGATAGATCAAAATTGCCGTACTGGCCAGATACATGCGGGCAGCGGCCGGCAAAAGTTGTATGAAAATCCATATCTGTCGTGTTTTGCGGCCAGATAAATTACTATGTAAACTCATATCTGTCCTGTAATTTAAAAATGGATTGACCTTTTACTTCGAAACATGGCTACCAAGGAGGTAACTAATAAAAGGTTTTATTGAAATTTCGAACTGGCTTGCAAATAGAAAACTGTTTATTGAAAAAAAAAAACAGGAACATTATGGCTCGTGAAAAATTATTATTGTTCGTTATTCGTCATTGAACGTAAAAAGTAAAATTGTGTTTATGATTTCCGCGCATTGTTTGAGAAAAGTATTATACTATACAAGCCTTGGTCACAACTAGGCATTGATGGATTCACGAATGTGTGCCTCGGCTACCCCTCGTCCCACATTTGCACGTTCGTTCATCAATGCCTCAGTTTCTGGCCGCTGTAGTAATGTACTATTTCATCTGGACATAGGCGGCGGAAAAATTGGTCACTATTTATTTCTATATCGCGCATATCATTCGGATATTTATATTCATTTCGATCGAGTTATTCATTCCGATATTAAATAAATGATATTTTATTTATACGTTATCGAATCAATATATATTGAAACTATAGACATATAGATATTGCTATATTATTCCATCCCTACCCGTTACGTGGGCTACAGTGTAGTACTTCAGGTACTACTTAGTAACCCACGTAACAATATCTACACTAATATTATGAAGAGGAAGGATTTGTATTTTTGTGTGTATGAATGTTTGTAATGAATAAACTCAAAAACTACTTCGCTGATTTCAAGAATTCTTTCACCATTAGAAAGCTACATTAATCCTGAGTAACATAGGCTACATTTATTACTAGAAAAGATTAGGGATTCTTACTTAGAAAAGTAACTCAAGGTGTAAAAAATGCTGTAAAATATCTTTTGTCGCGTACGCTGCAGAAACTATTGCTGATAGAACAAAAGTATGTTCTACAATATTGAAGAAAATATCAATAACTACAAAAAACTTTGGGATACTATATGTCCAACTATTATCGTTATGTCACAATAACCACTTTTTAAAATGTAAAAATATCCACCCGTGCGAAGCCGGGGTGGCCGCTAGTACATAATAATTTCTTAATGATAATACTCTGTAAATTTTTCTTCTAGCTGTCTTCTAGAAGGAGATGACCTTCCAATGGTACTCTCTGTACAACTCTGCCTCGTCTCTCGCGTGATTTTGCTATCATCGGATCTATTTTATAAAGCGATACAGGAAGCTTCCAATGGGCTGGTCGAGTATGATTCAGATCCAGTTAAAGTGTTAAACCGGTTTCTTCATGTTTGGACTGAGAAGATGAATCTAGTCACGCAGGTGGAGAGGTGGAAGGTAGTTGGTGAGTTACTATATCTATTTAAATTAATGCAATAACGTGACCCGTCATTGTTGTCATCATAACATCATCATATCAACACATCATCATTATAAAATCATCATCAGCCTTAACTGTCCACTGCTGAATATATACTTTCCTCTGTTTTTTGGTTGCCAGTAGTTGCCACGCTTGGTATGCGGATTGGCAATCGCAGTTAGGCTTTGGAGATATTTTAAGAGAGATGTTGCTGTCCATACTTCGCCCTTCCTTGACTTGACGCGTGATAATGTGGAAATATAATCATCACCCATATTACACACACAGTATGATATTAGAACTCTCCGTCGTATAGTCCCAGTTTCATTTTCACCTATCATCTTTTGCTGGTGTCTCGCTAGTGTATACCTATAATGCAGGCGGCGTTTCCATTTTACCGTATTAAAAAAACCTTTTCTTTTCCACTGGTGTCGTAAGAGGCATCTAAGGGAACTTAATAATCGAGACATGAGCAGCAGCGTCTCTCTTAAAACATTATCAAAAATCCTAGCTAAATAATGTCTGATATAATGATTTTTTATTTTTGTTTAAAAATTCAATCACTGTGTTTATACTTAACTGAAGTAGCTATTTAATTTGTTTATTTGATTCTAAAATTCAGTTGGAAGTATTTAATGATAATATTGTTAAACCACAAGTGGCAGAAGTATACGACCCAATTGATGGTAAGCAGTTACCGTAGCGTATGAACGTCTGCAATACTAGGGCCACTACGCGCGCCTTATTGACCCAATTTTATCAGTTTTCTTATGGATTCATGAGATGTTGCATATGTAAATATTTTATATGTTAACTTTTGCCCTCAATATATATATATATATAGTAAAACTGTATTTCATATGTTACTTATTACAGGGTTGGGATTGGCAGCGCTGCTCACAACACAGAATGCGACCGTGTTAGAGCGGTTCCCCGCTATATTGCTGAATCTCACTGAGGTGTTGAATGACGTCATGAAGACGGAGGACAATGGCACCTACGTAGAGTGAGTACGCTTATCACTTACTTGTCTAAGTATTGAAATGCTTATTGAAAAAAAGGTGAAATAGAAATAGATTCCTTCGTCTCAAAGTTTGTTCTTTTCTTGTGTTTTTTTTTAATGGATGATAATGGAATGGTTGCCTTGCATGCGCTATCGGTATACACTGGCGAGGCACCAGTAAAGTGTGACAGGCGAGGATGAAGGCAGGTCTGTTGGCCCACCCGTTGGAGATGTGGTGTGTGCCGTCGGAGATGTGGTGAGTGCGAAAGCGAACCCATGTTTCCGGCATATGGCACCTCGAGGGTATATCGTCTGGTTTTTGGTGGGTACACTACGGGGGGGTGTACCCTTACGGGGGGATTCCCACAGTACTCGTTCACCTCCCATAAGGTGTATGGGTCTGCATAAAGTATTTGCAAAGCACCAGACGTTAAAAAAAAACGTCTGTTGGCTCATAGTGATCAATTGAACAAGAATTAACCACTATGGTTTTCAAGGGGAACCGCATGCACGTCGACCTGATAGCGTATATTGCTAGCAATGGGGTTGTTAAATCTCATTATTAACAATCCCTTTTCACCCCAATTGCAAACTCGCCTACTGAGCGTGGCAATTACTGGCAAAACTCCTTCTGGGGAAATTTTATGTTTAGCAGTGTACAGTGAAGTGCTGGTATGATGATGATCGATTGTTTGATTGTTGCAGCGGGCTGGTGGCGCCGCCGGGGTCGCGGCCCGCGTCGCCGCTGGAGGGCCGCGGCGGCGCGGCGCGCTGGGGCGAGGCGGCGGCGGGCGACTCGCCGCACGAGCTGCGCCGCCGCCGCCTCGCCGCCGCGCACCCCGCGCACGCCATCGACCTGCGCGCCGTCACGCTGCACCAGGTACGCGCCTGCACCGTACCGTCTGCCGTCTGCCCTACCCCCTGCCGCTATCCACTGCTCCTGCCCGCCGTCCTGAACCCTACCCCCTGCCCTCGCCACCTTTTTTTTTTTTTTATACCCAAACATGGCCGGTCCTATCACAGCCATGCAAACACAACTGCTTCACGGTTGAAACACGAATGGAACAGAGGTACCCAAGCAATTTACTCTTGTACAAAGTCTCCACCTGCTTGCTGCCTACTCCCTTATTCTTGTCCCCTGCTATCCTCGTTTATCACCTGCCTCCTGCTCTCTGCTTTTATTTTTTATATTTAATGATTTTTAAATTGGTTTAAAAAATAAAATTAAGAATATGGCAAAATTTGTATCTTTATATACATTTTTTGTCTCGTCACTGTATTCTGTGATGCTGCTGTTCTAATTTGTATAAAAATAGTTTTAATATAGTATGTGTTTTTTTTTTTTCAAATTCAAAATATTTATACTCTATCTCCTCCAAAGATTGCCTGGAAGAGATCGCTCTTAGCGATTTTTTTTTGTAATTGTTTGTATTTATAATAAGATTAATATTGTAATCTTATAGCCTTTTTTTATATAACAGAATGAGCAGTACGGCCCATGATGGAAAGTGGTCATAACGCCTATAGACATGAGCAGTACCATGGAAATAACAGAGTATACTGTTTCGCCCATGATACCCCCCATGCGTTGCCATTTCTGAGGACTCGGGTGTTATTCCTCTGTACTCGGTAAATTCACGCTAAATCTATCTATCTATAATCACACTGCGTTGAAGTTTAAATAAATAAATAATTTTGCATTTCAGTTGGAAACACTGAAGAACCAAGTGGGAGCCGAGACGTTCGAGCGTTTAATACAAGCCACCGATCACGAAACTCTACAACAAATCAGAGAGTACATACCGCTTTGAATTTAGTTGTCTCCTTAAACACTCATACATACATTTACTTACAATAAAGTCTAACCCACTTATTCATAAAAACGCCAAACGTCTAATAAACTTTAGATATTGCATTGTTTTGTCTCTCTCTTTCATGCTAATTTGTCAATTTGAAAGACAGTGACATAACAGTAATAGTAAGGAGGTTTTAATTTTTATGAATAAGAAGCAAGAAGTTATAATTTAATTCTGCGCCAGTTGTGCTACTAAAGCAAATTATTATAGTATTTTTACCATCAAATAAGGCCTAACACAAACCTAAGGTAATGTGTCAAATTATGTATGAATTAACGGTAGTTCTAGATTCTCAAATTGTATAATATTGAAATTTATTTAAAGGCTCGTATCATACAAGTTTTACAATAGTTGATATAAAGGCAGTGCGTTATTGTAAAATACATAATTATGCGTTTTAGTACATTTTGCATTAGGACATATTCTTATGCATTTCCTAACATTCTAAGTTGGTCTCTCATATAGAGGATAGTGGATGATAATTGTGACAGAAACCTCGTGGTAAATATTCGTACGTTAATATTAATAAGTTCCTAATGTGGACGACATTATCCCCCCCCCCCCCCCTTCCCCTTAATAGAAAATACCATTCATCCAATATCTTTGTCCCATATCATCTTTCATAGCGAACAATGGTGGATTACTTATTTTATAAATAAGCATTGACTTTTTTTCTGAAGGCGACGCGGTCCAAACATGGTTGGTATCTATGAGCTATGAAGAGCTGCCGCTTTTTCCATAATTTATTGTATAATATTATACCACGATGTCGTAAGATTTTACAAAGGAAATTATTAGGACACGGACAGAGGGAGAATCCAATAGGATTCACATGTATCTAGACCAAGTATGTTCCCACGCGAATACAATGTGGGGTGGACTTTATAATAGGAGAGGAAAATGTATGTAAAAAGTATGCAATTACATATTATATATGAAGTCGCATTTAAATCTTCAACTTCCACTATATCGCTATTCCATGCACTTTTATGTCGTGGAAAATGAATTTATCTATCTAAAAATATGTATACATTATATTCTTCTATTATATCGTGACGGTAAAATCGTACGATATCGTGCCGTGCTACGATAAATTATAAATTTTCCAATAGTATCTGTAACTTTAGACCAACAGTCTTTATCCTTGACGTCATAGTGAATCCCTCCTATACAATAGAAAACGAATCTATCGATAGAATCGTTATCGTTAGCCAGTCCATAAGATAGAATGAGATGGCGATGTTCGTTGTCTTGTTCTTTCTCATGTCAATGCTGAACAAAACGATTCTATAAATGTATTTGTATTTGTTAAAGCGAAGGATAAGCCATTTCTTTACATTTTTCCCTTACCCTTATAATTTAATTTAATAATTTCTTGAATTACTGTTTTATAGATTATAATAAACTAAATTTATAATAATTTAAGCTTAAATCTTTTAGAAGTTTAGTTAATGTTGGCTCTTCGAATAAAGAATTTTTCTGTGCCATTTTATTGAAACTTTAGTTTCAAACATCGGTTTAGAGAATTAACAGCGTTTACTTATTTATTTATGAATTTACAGGGTACAGAGGCGTAACACCTTATTCCTCAGGAATGGCAATGTATGGAGTCCATGAAATAGTAATTTCTCGAAATTATTAAATTGAAATATTAAGACATAAATTTAAATGACACTTCAGAATTGACCCCAATCTTCAATTTTTTATTTCCTATAAAAACATTTATAGGAAATAAAAAATTCACTTCTAATTTATTACTGGATATATATATATATATTTTTTTTTAATATTTCGACACAATAATTTGACCTCAACTCGCTATTGTTGTAGTTTTGACCTCTAATATTTTTGATTAATTAAACTACAAATTCGTAAATTATAGGCCAGTTTTAGTTCCAGTATTTTTGACTGCGCGTTGACAGGTCAGTTGGCTAGTAATGAAGCTTTTTTACGTTACAGGCAACCGTGTATAAGTTTATTAACAAACATAATTGTTTACGAACCAAATTGTTAATGTTTTTCATGGTTCTGAAAATTTTTTTTTTAATTATTGTAAAGTACTCAACAGCAATAATAAGACTATACGACTTATGAAGTAAGCACAATGTATGTATGTACGAATATTACATTATTGTAGTAACATGTTTATATTTGTACATTTTGTATCGCATGTTTATATTATTTCTTGCTATTTAAATGCCAATTTTTGTATGTTATTACAACTGATTAATATTATTAGTGAACGCTAAGTTTATTAATAAAAAAAAAAAAATCAAAAATCTTATTAACCTATTTTTAGCTTTAAGTGTTTTGTCACGTTCTTTCCAATTAGGATTGTAGCTTGGAAGAGAGAGAAGGAAGGCTTCAATAGGTAAAGTAGATTTATAAGATTTTTGGTATTTTTTTTTTTATTATATATTGTAGTTGAGAAAACGAAGTGTAGTCAAATATAGAATGTTCACTCTGAAGACGAAAAGTCTGAAGCGACAAAATCTAACAAAACCGCCTACACCTAAATATCATGTATATAAACTACTAGCGACTCGCCTCGGCTTCGTGTGGGTGCAATATTTGTGTAACTTTTAAACTGTTCAACACATTTAGTAAGGCTGGCTTATTTTGGTGTGTGAAAGTATTGCACTAATATTCTCTAAGATTTTAAAATGAACGGCCTATTTAGCTATCTGATATGCGCGCGTTTATAAAGCTTTTCCTGTGTCCCCCACCTCCGCGCCCTACTGTTCTCGCACGGCCAGCGGTAGCGACAACGCAATAATTTTACTGGCTTTCATTTTTATTTCGATATATCTTCTGACCAACTGTATCAATTAATATGCTGTAAAAAGTGAACTTTATCTCCATGAAACTTCCACTTTTTTTATCTTTATTTATTTAGGGACTTTTGTCTTTTTAGGCACGTCAGTCCCATCGTACCTTAATCAATTTTAGGACATCATTTTATATATTTTAACAATCAAAAGTTCACAATTTTACAATCAAATTTAACAATCAAAAACACTACCAAATCAAGTAAAATGAATGAAATAAACTTTCTCTTTGATTTAGCAATTTGTTTTTATAAGAATTTGTAAAGTATACGTCGAACTTGTATCTAAACTTAATCACGTAAAATTTATTTTACTTTTGACATAAACACAATATTTTTGTCGGAGATATTAAACTTAGATATATAGTGTGGCTTTAATAGTAAGGGTAATTTTGCTATATATTTTATTCCTTTCTTTCCCTTCAGGCAGCGCACGCCATATCGTCATAGTCGTAGAATACCGACGGATATTTATATGTAATCTTTGTCAGATCCGTCAGTATTCTACGACTATGACGATATTATACAATTTTTGCCGAAATCGATTACATTCTTTGTGATTAATTATTGAAAATATATATTTGCTAAAATAAGTAGTCTATAAAACAGGGATAATATACCTTTCTGAAAGTGAAAGGATCTCACAAATTTACCTCTTTATATTAATAGATAGAAGATAGAAGAATAGATAAGTTACACATGATATTTAGGTTATACAGTTTAACCAATCTGGATTAGTGGGCGTGGTTTAATTTGTTTAGTCTCAATGATTGGCTAAGAATTTTTTTTTGTTTTATTGTGTACAGCCGTATGTATTTTTTTGTTTTATTGCTACAGACGTGCTATTGTCAGCCATATTTATATTGATTCGATATACTAATATAGCATTGGTAGCAAAGAATGAAGTTTCTATAGTTGACTGCATTTTAAATATACGCCTACATTCTGAAGTTAATTAATTTCCTTTTTTTATTGGTTACGAATTTTAGTTTATAAAGTGATGAAAATAAAATATATTACGAACGATTATTATTTTTTGATTTCAGTTTTTTTTTATCCTTGATAATTAATATCATATCTCTTAGTATAATAAAGTTATATTTCTTTGAATATTTTCCTTTAGTTTGCACTTCTTTACGATTATTTAATGACGTATGTCTATATGTGATGTACTCACATATTCCTATATTTAGCTTTAATATATAAATTGAGATTTAACTGTTTGTAAAATATGGAAATAAATGCAGTACTGTAGGTAAAATTAATTCTTAATCTCGCTCGGTGTACCTTAGTCAAAAAGTCGAACAACCCCACGATAAATTATTATATTTCACCTGCACGATTCTCATTTCCACCTCTATAAACTGTAAATCATGCAATGCGAAAGTCTTATATAAGGAATATTTAAGGAAATTAGATTATTCTGTGAATGTCATTTTTAGTATGCTAGGTTAAATTGAAATTACATATTGACATTAGAGTTCTTTCAACGAACTTTTTCAAAGGAATATGAATCGAAAAATTACAACAATATACCTGCTATGCTCTACATATTTCGACATACATATCCGTCACGTCTATCTCCTATTGGAGTAATCAGAAACAATGGGATACCAAATGCTTCGATTCAAACAGTCCTCCTTCGCTTACTCCACATTCATAAATCTATTCATACACGCGCGCCGGTCACAGGTACTTTTAATTTGACGCTTAATCACTATATCGCTTATTTGATCGACATAGTATGTTTAGATCCTACTGACATTTCCAATCATTCGTACATTAATTCGTAATTCTTCATATATCCTCTCCAAATGGCCAAACCAACGATAGGCACATTCCCTTTTTGATTTTTGTCACTAGGTACCTTACATTTCAGTCCACACTTCTCACTAAATACACTATTTTTTATAATATTTTAATTTAATACTGACTGAAAAAGGAAGAGATTCACCATTAGGTTGTTTTTTTTTTGTTTGTTACCAAATATATATATATATATATATATATATATATATATATATATATATATATATATATATATGAAGGTATATATTGTCATATTTATTCCATTGAAATTTCATCAAAGTGGTGTGGTTTCCTTAGTTTGGTTTTAATAGATCTGTTTCCTCATTAAAGTACCCGACTTTGCCACAATTGGCTTCATGACTTTGGTTATTACAGTACACGTTTCGGACTAATTAGATTCGAAATCATTAGGCTATCAGTATAATTTGTTCTTAACGAATAAAACCAAGAAATGACATACACCGAGTAGCAATATACTTTTAGAAAATTGCACACTTACTAAATTATTCTAGATTTATAGAAAATCTCTCTTAAATATATTAAATAGGGTAGATTCAAGAAATATCACCTATTATACGAGTTTTTATATATAACAACATTTTTTTAAATGGATAATAATGGGATGGTAACCCTGCCGGCTATTGGGTACCAGTGAAGGATGATGGGTGAGAATAGATAGATAGGTAGATAGTAGTCTTTTTTTTATGGTTTGCGGTACTGTATGTAAGGCATCCCGTCCTCGCTATTGGATACGGGTGACGGAATGCCTATACAAGAGGGTACATGGTGGACGCAATTTAGACACAATATTTAAGGAGCATTAGGAAGGTACTACGGCCGTATACTGCAACAAAAAAAAGAGTATGTAGCGGCCCCCGAACTGGCGACCTCTGCTGTCTACTGGGCCCCAGTAGTTAGATTAATTACCCCATA